GCCCGGCGCCCGGAGGCGCCAGGAACACCAGCCACGCGCGCCGAGGCTCCACCCTGCCCTCTGCTGCCCTGCCCTCTGGCTGCCCCCCCCCCCCTCTCCCCGAGAAGAGCTCCTCGCACGCCGTCCCTCCCTCGAGATCCCAGGAGGGGAAAAAACACACAGACACAATGAATCGGCGATTCCCAGAAAACATGGAAAAATATGGGAAGTGGGGGGAAGACAAAACCCAGAACATAGGAAAATATGGGAGCTATTTTTATTTGTGTGTACTTATTTGTGTGTCCCAGTTCCCCTTCAAGGTCCCGCGCTGCAGAAAAAGAGCTGCCACGACGCAGGCCCCGGGACCCCGTCGTTCGGCGTCCTCGTTTTCGGGCCGGCTCGATCTGGGAGGGCCCCGGGGCCCGAAGCGGAGCGCAAACGGCCGTGCAGCAGAAAAGCTGCAGCGCCAGGATCGCAGGCTTCGTCTGCTCCGAAGGCGTTCGTCCGCCTCCCGGCCCCCGGGCAGCAGCACCCGCAGATGGCCGCGCTGGTGCGCCAGGCGCTGGGGCGCGAGGACCTGGCGGACGCCGACGTGCGCGTGGCCATCTGGGTCGCCCAGTTCGTCGCGCCCGAGGCTCGAGGAGGAACACAATTATTTGGTTAAATGTTTAAGTGTTGATTATTTAAAAGTTTAGACTCTTAATTAAATGTTTAAAATGCTAAAGTCTTAACTGTTTTACTGCTGAGCTGCTTGGCTGAATGATCAAACATATAAATGCTGCTTCATCTAATGCTATGTGAAATGTTTAACTGTTTGAACTCGAGGAAAAGAACTCCCACTTGTTTGAATGTTGCTTGGTTCATGTCCTTAGGCACGTGCGGATCATGTGACCGCTGAGTTGAATAATGCGAGCAAGAGGGTTCATGCCAGCCCCGTGCCGAATCTCCACAGCGTGCCGAGGGTACTGAGTGGTTCACCAAAGGCGCCGTCGCCAAAGCATCGATCACCAATTCCAGCATTGCGCATCCAGGGCATGTTTGTCGGCGGCCCCGTCGCGAAATTTTCGCTTGCGGCAATGAAGAAGCTGTCAGTAAACATGCAGCCGAGGCGGGGAGGGAAGGACCACTTAGGATTTGGGCGCAGGACGGGCTCTAGTTCTTCGTAGCCGAGGCTCGCCGTGGCCTGAAGGGCCCTCTCGTTCTTCACCCAGCGATCCCAAATGGCAGCACGGTGACAGCAGACCGTCGGAGGTCCGCGCGGATGTCCTGGATCGGTGCTGGGCCTGAGCCTGGTTCGGCGCTTACCGGTGCCGCCTATTGCTTGCTCCGCGCACCATGGAGGGGGGGCCCGGGGCCGATTTAAGAAATTCTCGCGGAGCTCCCAAAGGCCCAAGGTTGCGACCCAAATCTCGATTGCAGCCCTATACCCAAGTTTGCTGTGGGATTTTGAGACAGTTCGATACGCGATGGCCCTGGGGCCCGAACCTCGGCGAACACGCCTGGTGTAAAGACCAGCAAGCGTAGTGCTGCGCTGCTGGTACGTAGATTAGGGCAGGGTGTGCGAGAGTGCCATTCTTATAGTTCGGGGGTGGACAGACCCCCCAACAGTGACACGTCGATTAGTGAATTGTCCGTTTTCGGTTCTCGAGAGGGCGCCGCGGCCCTTATTTTCCAGGCTTGCGCCCGCCAGGTTTGGGCCTCAGGTCGTTTTCACTAAACAACGTTTTACCAAAGGGAGGTCTGCCCATCCCCGAATGGTGTGCTTCTTCGTCTGGAGGCGCGGGGACTCGGCCTCGACGCGAGGCTCCTGGCCAAGATCATGGACGTGGCGCACGCGCGGGGCTACACCCACCTCCTCTTCGTGGTGGACGACCGCAGCCCGGGGCTCCACGACATGCTGTTCGCCCACTACGCGTCGCAGGGCTGCGCCGCCGTCGCCGAGGACGGCTCGATTGCCACGCGAATGAGGAGGTATAGTTCGGTAGCAAGCCATGTGAGCCTCGCATGTCCTCCAAGTGCGTTTTCAGATTGCACTAGCGCGGGCGCTTGTGTCTGGTGATCGATGAGAAAGCGCCGATACAGCGTCGATTTGCGTCGATTTGGAGATGGCCAGTGTCGATGAGTGAGCGCCGATTCGCAGGAGCCAACATGATGGTATGGTAGGCTCCCATGATGAGTTGCCGCAGAAGGTGGACAATATTCCCTGATAGGCCCTGAAGAAGGCTCCAACGGAGCTGCGCGACACTCACCCTCTGTTGTGGCGTTGCCCTGGTCTGCTCGATTGTGACCGAGGCCTAGAGATGTTCCCCCGATGCCACCCAGATGTCCCCATCAGGATACAAGAGGGCCTCAGATGTCCTCTTCGTTTTCCCACCTCATGTGGTCCAGGATTTTAGTACTGGCCGCTTGGGGCCGCCAGGGGGTTCAACGCAACACCGCTTGCCGCCTTCATTTGCCCGGGCACTATCCTGTTCCTCCGCTCCTCCTCCCTTCTTGATCCTGTTCGTGCAAGGAAGCGATTCGAATGCACCCTTTCCGTGGCTTTCGGGTCGATTTGGCAACGCGAGCGAATTTGCAGGCCATTCCGGGCATGAAGGACAATCAAGAAAGAGGGCCTCGATGGATCCCTTCGACGGCGGTGAACATTGTGCACGTGTGTTCTATCAGGTGTCGGTACTTCTGGGCCCCGGGTGTCTCTGAGAGTGTTTGGGCGGATCGTCGAACAGGCAAAAAGAGGCACGACAGCGCACCAAGAGAGACCCAACAGCGCCCCGTGAGCTTCCGGCTACGGGGGGGTCAGGAGGTTTGGGTGCAATTCCACACGCCACCGCGGTGCCGATGACGCCTCGATGCGGCTCAAGCGAGCCCGAGCTGCAAGCAATATGGCCCAACAGGGGCGCAGTAGGCAACAAGATGCCCCCACATGGCTGCCAAATAATTCACCCATGTTCTCACGATGTACACTTCGGAGGCCAATGTGTGCTCACACGATGTTGTGACGTCGTCTTGGCCTGCGTGAGAGCGCCAGAACCTGCGTGCGCGCGAAGCTCGCGCGATTCCAGCTGATGCTTATCTTGGTTTTCGCTGCTCGGCGAGGATAACCCCCTCCGGCGTGAGGAAAGCCCTCTGGCGGGCGTTCGGAAGCACCCAGGCACCCTCGGAGCGCTCTCGGCGAGGCGCAGCCGCTGGAGGGCATCCCGAGGCTAGACGACCGTCGAAAAACCGACAAGCACGTCCGAAAACCTCGAACCCTGATACGGTCGGACCGAGGTACGAGATCGAGGTTGGTTCGTGCAGGGTACCCTACTGTTCGTCGTGGCTGTTGGATGTTATTCTGCATCCCCAGAAGGTGCTCCTGAATGTTCTATGTGTGTTTTGGCCGACGGAGGGTTCCATGTCCTGCAAGGATGTTCTTCTGTCCTCGGTCCGGCTGCAACGTTGCCCCTGGGGTCCGCCGAGAGCCGGCGAAGACGTCCGAAAGCCTAGATGTTCGCCACAGTCAAGCCGCACAGCAAGGATGGGCAACCTTCCACGGTTTCCCCCTGCATCCTTCCCCCTCGGCTCATCGTTGACCATTTCCATTGGCCGCGCCCCGAGCGCAGAGTGTCGACATGCCTCTCCAGGGCCCTTGCATCCTCATCGCGCGTCCTTCTCTTTGCGCGTTGACTGTAACGCTGCCCCTGGGGTCCGCCGTGGGCAGCCCCCTCGGCCTTCGCAAGACCATGCTCCGCTCCGGCCCGCGGAGACGCCGCGCGAAGGGCATCCCGAGGCTGGAAGACCAGAACCGACGAGCACGCCCGCAAACCTCGAGCCTTGATGACGTTGCCCCGCGGGCCCGCCGAGGCCAATCCTCTCGGCGAGGGAGGAGGGCGGAGGAGGAGGGAGGAGGGCGGAGGAGGAGGGAGGAGGAGGGAGGAGGAGGGAGGAGGGAGGAGGAGGGAGGAGGAGGGAGGAGGCTCCGCCGAGGACAACCCCCTCGGCCTGCGGAAGGCCATGATCCGGCCCGTGGAGACGCCGCGCGAGGGCGGCGGCGGCGACCTCGGGCGTGCCGCCCCGGCGCTGCCGCCAGCCGGCCGGGGCGCGGCTCCGGAGGCAGGCCGGGGGCGGCCGCGGCTTCGAGGGGCGACGGTCGGATGAGAGCAACAAGAAGCAGAGGGAGAAGGAGACGAATGCAACCAATCATTAGTCATCATAACACGAATGAGGATGATGTTATACTTAGTCCTCACAACCACCATAGGTAGAACCGTCCTCAGCATAATACGACGGATCGTAATCATGCTGGTCAGCGTTGGCCCCAGCACGGTGGAGGTGAGAGGTGAGACTTGCGCGGTGTGAGATGCGTGTGTTGAGCTAGGCCGTGTGGGCTATGTGGCGTGAGCTATGGAGGTGGAAGTTGTGCAGTGCAGCTGCGTGGTTCAAGCCATGTCGTGTATCCTGCGTGGTGTGAGCTGGAGGTGAGAGCTATGCGGTGTAAGCTATGTGGTGCAATTAATATTTGACCGTCTTGAAGCTGTCCTCTCCACTGCTCGTGCAAACATCCCACCCTCCCACCCGCAACTTGGTCGCAAGACCTCTTAAGACAAGACCGTGACGGTACGTACCACATGACACTTGGCCACGACACCGACGACGACAGCGACAACGACGACGACGGCGCCGCCGACACCAACTACGACGACACCGACGACGTCTCCAACGACTTCGACGACGACAACGACGACACCGACGACGACGACGACGACGACGGCGACTACGACGACACCGACGACGAAGACGACGACGACGTCGCCAACGAAGACGACAACGAGGAGGAAGGACGACGACGGCGGCAACGACGACAACGACGACAACGACGAGGGAGGAGGGAGGACGGCGACGACGCGAACGACGAAGAAGGAGGAAGGACGGCGGCGCCGACGACGACAACGACGAGGGAGGAGGGAAGACGACACGACAACGGCGACGACGACGACGGCGACGAATAGGAGGGACGACGACGAGACGCCGACGACGGACGACGACGACGACGAGGGAGGAGGAGGAAGGACGACCACGGCAACAACGACGACGGAAACGACCACGACGCCAAAGAGGACGACGACGACGAACACGAGGAAAGACAGAGGACGACGTAGGCGACGACGACGACTACGACGACGACGCGGGAGGAGGGAGGACGGCGACGACGACGACGACGACGACGACGCAAGAGCGCGCGCGCACGCTGTTATTGAAAAGCCGTGTTGCGAATCCTTGTGTCTTTGTAGTTTATTCTGGGCACACGATTTTGAAATCCTTCCGGACAATGGGTTTTTCCCCACATCCAAAGTGGGGTTCTTGTTTTCTCTGCACACGCCGCGCAGGATCTCACACACACACCCGTTCCTCTCTCTCTCTCTCTCTCCCTCTTCCTCACTCACCATCATCGCCATCATCACCATCAACCACCATCATCGTCATCACACGCACACACTCATCAGCATTACCATCATCACCACCATCAACCACCATCACCGTCATCACTAGTCATCATCATCATCCCCATCATCATCGTCACCATCATCACCACTCGATCACCCACTCACCCACTCAATTACTCACTCATCCTCAGTAGGCTTCGGAGGCAGTGGTCCTCCGACGGTAGGACCGCCGCCACTCTCAACATCATCGCCACCATCTCCATCATAATTTCTCGATCATCCACTCAGTGGCCATCATCTTCATCATCATCATCATCATCATCACTCATTCATCACACACTCATCATCATCATTCGCTCACTCATCATTTCGTCATCAGGCGGGAGCCTCTGAGTGAATTGCGAGGGAGTCTCAGGCGGGAACCCCTTCCCTATGGGGCCCGCAGATCACGTTACTAATCCGAGCGGGTCATCGGAACCTTGTAACTGTCGTCACTTTTGGGCTCTTGAGGCTTGAATATGGACGAAGTATCAGGCGGGAGCCTCGTCTCTGAGTGAATTGCAAGGAAGTCTCAGGCTGGAGCCCCCTCCTTATGGGGCCCGCCGATCATGTTATTAATCCGCGCGGGTCATCGTAACCCTGTAATTGTCGTCATGCTTAAGCTCTTGAGGCTTGAATATGAAGGACGTCTCGAGCGGGAGCTTCGTCGGTGAGTGAATTGCGAGGAAGTCTCAGACGGGAGCCCCCTCCCTATGGGGCCCGCAGATCATGTTATTAATCCGAGCGGGTCATCGGAACCTTGTAACCGAGGTCACTTCTGGGCATCTGAGGCTTGAATACGGACGAAGTATCAGGCGGGAGCCTCGTCTGTGAGTGAATTGCGAGGAAGTCTCAGACGGGAGCCTCCTCCCTATGGGGCCCGCACATCACATTATTAATCAGAGCGGTTCATCGGAACCTTGTAACTGTCGTCACTTTTGGGCTCTTGAGGCCTGAATATGGAGGAAGTATCAGGCGGGAGCTTCGTCTGTGAGTGAATTGCGAGGAAGTCTCAGGCTTGAGCGCCCTCCTTATGGGGCCCGCCGATCATGTTATTAATCCGAGCGGGTCATCAGAACCTTGTAACTGTCGTCATTTTTGGGCTCTTGAGGCTTGAATATGAAGGAGATATCGAGCGGGAGCCTCGTCTGTGAGCGAACTGCGAGGAAGTCTCAGGCGGGAGCCCCCTCCTTATGGGGCCCGCAGATCATGTTATTAATCCGAGCGGGTCATCGGAACCTTGTAACCGTCGTCACGCTTGGGCCTCTGAGGCTTGCTGACGGGCTCCTGACGGACGTGAACGAGCGCCTGGACGACGGAAAAGGGTTGTACAAATACGCGGAGACGCCGACGGTGGAGATCCAGCACGCCATCAGGGTCTTCTCTCAGATCCCCTGCGTCTTCGAGCTGAATGGCACAAAGCGCTTCGAGCCGGGGGACCCTCTGATCGCGTTCTTGGGCTGCACGCGCGAGGGCAAGCGCTTCCCACCAGAGGTCTGGTCTGCCTGGGAGAAGACGTTGGCCTCGGACAACCACGGCGTCCTGGACCCACGGCACCAGCACGAGAATTTCCGGCTCGGCTACGGCATGGGCATCTATTGGGAGACGCTGGCGAGGTGGATCAACACGCGCGCTCGTCGCGACGCGCGGCGCCTCGGCGTCCCCCTCGTTTTCCTGCGGGCCGTAGACGAGTGCGGCACGATTCAGGGCGACCCAGACGCAGGCCGGCGCCTCCTGAACGCCCCGAACATGCACAAGACGGGAGACATCCACGGCGTCTTACCGGCACACGTCGGCATGGAGGTCCGGTTCACGGCCGCGCAGGAGGTGCTGAAGAAGAAGTTGAGGCTCGTGCAGGAGCAACGGGCCACCATCGTGTCCTTCGAGTTTCACGCAGACGACGAGCGGGACTACGAGGAGCGCGCGCCGGGCCAGCTCTTCCGCCCCCGCTTCCTACCGCGGGGAATCTGGCTGCAGGCGCACGGCTTCCAGGAGTCCCAGATCTACAAGGAGGTCGCCGAGGTACTGCTGCAGGGCGCCGACAGCGCTGCCGACGACGGCGAGGCCGAAGCGCGGGCGAGGAGCTTGCTCACGTTCAGGCCCAACGAGCAGGAGCTCACGTGACAAAGCTCGGGGGCGCACGCTGTGCGCCGCTCGGGGTTCACCCTGACGCACGCGCCCTACCTGACCTCCACGCTGTCGCAGGGCCAGACGCTGCGCAAGGGCGTCACCATCGACTGCGCCAGGGGTGAGGACGCTGGCCGCACGGGCATGTCGGACGAGACGCGGTGGCTGCACCTCTACGCCATGTTCCCCCGCGCCACGCGCATGCGGAACATGCTGATCCCGCGGCCGCCCGCGCGAGAGTTCCTGGAGCGCGGGCCGCCGGCGCCACTGCGGAAGGCGCCCCAGGAGTTCGACAAGAGAGCGGTGGATTCCAGGGCTGAGGCGGAGCAGCTCGCGGCAGAGCTGGGCTTCGTGCTGCCGCCCGCCCGAGCGCCGCGGCGCGCGCCTAGAGGCCCGCGGGGTTGCCCCAAACGCTGGCCCCCGCGCCCCCGCGGCCTGCGAGGTTGCCCCAACGGCCTCGCCCAAAGGGTTGCCCCGGCTTCGCGATCTAGCCGTCGGCAAACGCGCGCGCGCTGGCCAGCGCGGCGACGGCGCCGAGGAAAATCGAGTTGCTTGCCGCGACCAGGGGGAACGGGAGGTGCACATGGAAAGGAAGCAGGAGGATGAGGAGGGAAGGGGCATGGGGGAGGGCGACGACGAGGAGGAGGTGGCGCGAGAGGAGGAGGAGGAGGAGGAGGAGGAGGAGGAGGAGAAGTACGAAGAGGAATAGAATGAGGAAAAGAGGGCAGTGCAGAGGGCGAGAGGAGAGGGTGTCCGCCAGGGGGAGGAGGAAAGGGCAAAGGGTAAGCTAAACAGATTCTCGTGCGGGGTCCTACCGTCGGAGTAATGAAGGTTTTCGGCGCGCGCGCGCGCGACGACGCGCGCGTCTGCACTTCGTCCCATTTGTTGCAGAGGATTCTCGCGAAGGCACACGCGCAAGGGCCTTCGACTGATTTCGACGTGCGCGCGCGAAGCCCGTTTAATAGCATGTTGTGAGAATCCAGAAAAACCTACGGTTTTCTTAAGATTTCGCAAGAGCTCGCGCGGAAATTCGTTTAGCAAATCAGTGTTGCGAAACCCTGTGTTTTCGTATGCTTGTTTGCGAACTCGATTGCGAAATCCTTCTGGCACCGAAGGTTTTAGAAGGATTTCGGCATGCGCGCGCGACGACGCGCGCGTGTGCACTTCGTCCTATTTGCTGCAAGGGACTAGCGAAAATGTGCGATTTTAGAACAAGAAAATCACCGCTAAGTGTTTTTTGCTGTTGCAAGGGACCCTCAGGGAGGGGATACCGGCCCCCTTGGGATGGTGTAAATTCATATTGAAATGGCCTCCGGCCAGTGCCGCCGATCCGGGGCGCTCTGGATGATGATGATGACGATGATGATGATGATGTTGATGATGATCATGATGATGATGTTGATGATGATGATGGTGGCGATAATGATGATGACGATGACGACGATGACCTTGTGTTCTCTTGTGGGCCTCTTGGAAGCCTTTTGGAGCCTCTTGGGAGCTCCTGGGAGGCTTATTGGAGCCTCGTGGGCGCCTCTATGCTGTTGGGGGCGGAAGACTTGTCAGCTTAGAAGACAGCTCTCGCTCGAAACATCCTCATAGGATAGAGGTGTTGAAATGGCTTGCGGAACTTTCGGATCTTGGAAAATGACGCTTTTGCCTGAGACACATTCAAAATCCGGAGATGTTGAAGTAGCTGTAGTACGACATCTTGTGGAGGCGCTCTTGGAGGACCTTGTGGGGCCTCTTGGGGGCGTCTTGGGGCCTCCTGGGGGCCTCCTGGGCCGTCTTGGGTTCTTTTTGGGCCGTCTTGGAGCCATTTGGGGAGCCTCTTGGGCCCGTCGTGGAGTCCTCTTGCGCCGTGGGGGCCTCCTGGGCCTGCGTAAGCCCTTCTTAGACCGTCTTGGAGCCTTTTTGAGGGCCCTTTGAGCCGTTTTGGACACTGTGAATGCCCAAGAGGCGAACATGCTAAAAATGTAGAGTTTCCTTGGGGGCCAGTTGGGGCCTTTGGGGGCTTTTTGGGGGCGTCTTGGGGCCTCCTGGGGGCCTCCTGGGCCGTCTTGGGCCCTTCTTGGGCCGTCTTGGAGCCCTTTTGGGAGCCTCTTGGGCCCGTCCTGGAGCCCTCTTGCGCCGTCTTGGGGGCCTCCTGGGCCTGCGTAAGCCCTTCTTAGGCCGTCTTGGAGCCTTGTTGAGTGCCAAAAGGCGAACATGCTAAAAAATGCACGGTTTCCTAAGGGAAATCGATGATTGTGGCCGGTCGGGGCCCTTTTGGGAGACCTCTTGGGGGCCTCTGGGAGCGTCTTGGCGGCCTCTTGGGCTGTCTTGGGTTCATGTTCGGCGTCTTGGATCGATTTTTGGGCGATCCAGAAATGTCTTGGCCCGTCTTGGCGGCTTCTTGGCAACGTTTGGGTCCGTTGTGGCCAACCGAACCCCGACCAACCGAACACAATCTGTGGAAGACCCCCCCCCTACCCCGGCAGAGCCACCCCGGCCCACCCCCCCTTCAACTCACACGCCGGATCGGCGGATTTAGGATGGACATGTGGTCAGAATCATATATGATTTACATAGCTGGCAGGGGGAGTGATAACGCCGGGGGGGGGTAGATCCTATTCTGTTTTTAGAAAGGAGAATCTATGCAGTATAGGCTACGCAGTATGAGCCAGATGGTGCAAGTTCTGCCGTGAAATCGACGTGGTGCAAGCTGCGCGGTGTAAGCTCAGCGCACGGCGGCGCGACCTCGGCGGGCCCACCCGGCACAAAGGGGGCCCCCACGAGGGCCCGCGAGCCAGCACGGGCGGCGACGCGGCGACACCTTAGGCGGACCCACCCGACGCACGGGCGCCCACGAGCGCCCGCGATGCGGCGCGTGGCGGCTTCGTGGAGCATCCTCGGCGGACCCGTCCGACTAACACGGCGCGCAAGCGCGAATTGTTGGGTGCAAACACTATGCGGGGAACCGTCAGACACGGCATACGCAAGCCGCGGCGCAGGGTGCGCAAGCCGCGGCGTAGGGTGCGCAACTTCTGGGAGGAACATCCTCGGCGGACCCGTGCAAATTAGTGAGGAGCGCAAGCGCGAATCTCTGGGTGCCAAGACTGTGCGGGGAACCGTCAGAAACGGCACACGCAAGCCACAGACATCGGCTTTCGGAGGTCCGCGCGGATCTTCTGGATTGGCGCTGGGCTCCCTCCCTGGCCCGCCGGTCCGAGAATGCCGCGCGGACCTCCGAAAGCTGATGCTTGCATTGAGTCGCGCATGTCCCCCTACAGGCGGATTTGGGAGGAAAAATTGAAAATAGTTTTTACAAAAATCTCAAAAAAAACATTAAAAATAGCCAATGAGAAGGATTCTGAATAACCTAGGTCGGGCCTGTCCCCCTACAGGCGGATTTTCTACGAAAAATAAGAAATACCCTAACAATATTCAAAAAATAATCAAAAATGGTGAACACATCGTCCCCATACCATTTTTTGACTATTGTGAAGTTCCCTCCTGTAGGGGGACAGGCCCGACTCAATGCTTGCACGTTTGTTCCCCATTCGTCAGGAGGGGAAAAAACACACAGACACAATTAATCGTCGATCCCCATGAAAATATGGGAAAATATGGGCAGTGGGGGGGAAGACAAAAACCCAGAATATCCGTAAGGGCTTCGCCCCCTGCCGCCGGCCCCCTCTCTCGGAGAATGGGCCATGGAAGAGCTAAGTCATGAGGCCTTGGCGCTGTCGTGAAGCAGTATCGAAACTTCATGCGAAGCCGATTCGCAATCAGCAAAACCAACTGATCACAAGAGGGGTTACCACACCTGGCGATTGGTAAGACGTGTATGGTTTACGGGCTTGGTTACCACACCTTGCGATTAAAGGGCCGAGGGAGTTCTCGCAGTTTGGGTTACCACGCCTTGCGATGGATGTGCGTGAAGGGTGGCACCGAATTTCAGAAATGTGCCAAATCCCTTGTGTTTTTGGACCCTGACCCCGCGGATCTGCGCGCCGAATTTCAGAAATGTTGCAAATCCCCTGTGTTTTTGGACCCTGACCCCGCGGATCTGCGTGAGGGGTGGCACCGAATTTCAGAAATGTGGCAAATCCTTATGTGTTTTTGAACCCTGACCCCGCGGATCTGCGTGAGGGGTGCACCGAATTTCAGAAATGTGCAAATCCTTTGTGTTTTTGGACCCTGACCCCGCGGATCTGCGTGAGGGGTGGCACCGAATTTCAGAAATGTGCAAATCCCATGTGTTTTTGGACCCTGACCCCGCGGATCTGCGTGAGGGGTGGCACCGAATTTCAGAAATGTGGCAAATCCCTTGTGTTTTTGGACCCTGACCCCGCGGATCTGCGTGAGGGGTGGCACCGAATTTCAAAAATGTAGCAAATCCCCTGTGTGTTTGGACCCTGACCCCGCGGATCTGCGTAAGGGGTGGCACCGAATTTCAGAAGTGTGGCAAATCCCTTGTGTTTTTGGACCCTGACCCCGCGGATCTGCGTGAGGGGTGGCACCGAATTTCAGAAGTGTGGCAAATCCCTTGTGTTTTTGGACCCTGACCCCGCGGATCTGCGTGAGGAGTGGCACCGAATTTCAGAAATGTGGCAAATCCCATGTGTTTTTGGACCCTGACCCCGCGGATCTGCGTGAGGGGTGGTGATTTCGAGCCCCCCCAGCAATTCAGACAACGCGCCCAGGGGGTGCTAAAAAGCCGGTTTGGGCCTCCCCCCCCTCGCGCAGTCAATCAACTAGTTACAGTAACCAGCAAGAAGGAGAACAATCAACTAGTTACAGTAACCAGCAAGAAGCAGAACTGTAACACTGGAAACTACAAGCTACAACTGACACAGGAAACTGCGAACCTCGTGCCTACAGCCTGGTGGCCCCACAAGGGGGCCGGCGGATATGGGGAAACATGGGGAATCCTTTTATTTGTGTGTATTTATTTGTGTGTCCTTGGGCCCCTTCAATTCGGCAGGCGGGGGTGGCTAGAGATGTCAAGGATACGGCGCTCCCGACCCGCCTCGCAGACCCTGCATCACTACCCTATGGTGTCGGGCACCACAGCGTCGTGGTGCTCCCGGGGGGGCTTCCCGCCTCGGGCCCTTCGCGAAGGACGACCGCATGCCGCGGCCGCCAGGGCCAAGTCGTGCCCGTGCTCCTCCTCCCCCTCCTCCTCCTCCTCCTCCGCCTCCGCCTCCGCCTCCTCCTCCTCCTCCTCCTCCTCCTCCTCCTCCTCCTCCTCCTCCGCCTCCTCCGCCTCCTCCGCCTCCTCCTCCTTCTCCTCCTCCTCCTCCTCCTCCTCTGCGCTCCGTGCGCAGTCCGCATCCCTGCCACATCACGTCGTCGCCGACCAAATCGTACCAGATCCCTCCTCGTGTCTTCGACGAGCGACGGCCGCATGCCGCGGCCGCAGGGCCCGAGAGACCTGGCGTTCCCTGGTGGATCCCGCTTCGCGTTCGCAGAGATCCCTTGTCTGGATGTGTTCAAGACGGGGTCCCCAGGAGCCTCGACCCCCTCCGATGGGCACCTCTTTCGTTCCGGATCCGTCTGTGGGCAGTCCCATGGGGCCAGGCCAGCGCCCCCAGAGTCCGAGAACGACCAGGAAGCGCCGCCCCGATTTCTCCACGTGTTGGAGGTCTGGGCGACAGGGGCCGTCCGCAGCCCAATGCCCAGCTCTCCTCTCGCGGGAGGCGGCGGCGACGCGGGGCGGCGTCGACCTGGCGGGCAACGCCTTCGCCCTGCCCCACGGCTACGTCGCCGTCCCGCTCCTCCTCGAGTTCACGCGCGAGGTGCTCCCCGCCCTGGACCGGCTCGGCCCCTGCGGGCTGCGGGAGCTTGCCGCCGCGCTCGGCGCCAACGCCGGCCCCCCGGGGGGGGGAAGAAGCGCCGACGCCGCAGCGCGTGCCTGACGAGCCTCCCCCCCAGACATGCAGCGCCTCGGCAGCATCTGGACGGAGGTCTTTCGTCGTTGTTTTGCGCCCGGGGGCCCTTCCTGGGCCTCGGGGCCGTCAACGAAGCCATGCGGGAGGAAGAATTCTGGCCCGGTGAACTGGTCGGGACTTCCAGGGAACTGCGCGCTGAATATTGGAAGAGATCGCGTGTGTGTGTGCGTCGTTGCCGCGGCTGGATTCGTCTCGACATCCTGGTCATAGCACGCCCTGGAAGAAAGGTCCATGGAGTAGTAGCGGTATCATGTCAGTCCCCGTCTTCCCGTGTGGGGGGGACGGCGCTCCCACGGCTAAAAAATGATTGCGAAGGCCTCAGGGCCGGTGCCTCCGACCCGGAATGACGACGACGACGACGACGACGACGAGCGCTCTCGCGGGCCTCTTGGGGGCAGTTTGGGGGCCTCTTGGGAAGCTCTTGGGAGCCGCTTGGGAGCCCCGTGGGGGCCTCTTGGGGCTTCCTGGGGGTCTCTTGGGGCACCTCTTGGGGGCGGCGAAAGACTTGCTTTCCTTGCCCCATCGGCACTGTGACCCCGGCCGGCGTTGCAGTTGTTGCCGCCTGCTGTGGGTCGCGCGATACGTCGAGGGGCGCGGCTCCGACTCTTGGCCCCAGAGGGCTCTTCTTTCGTCGGGCATGTCCCTCTACAGGAGGGAATATTCAAAGATGGTCAAAAAATAGTCGGGGACGATGGTTTCATTCTTTGTTTGACAAGTGCTGAGCATGTTTGGGTCACTTTTTGCATGTCGTCCAAAATCCGCCTGTAGGGGGACATGCCCGACCGAATCTTAGCCCCAGAGAGCTCTTCACAATTCCTTCTCAGGCCCCCGACGTCGTGATTGTTTTAGAGCGTCGACCCCCAGAGGTGTGGACCCCTTCCCCAGGACCGGCGTCTCGTCCCGTGTCGTTTCTGGGCGGTCCCGAGGCCCCCGTGAGGGCCCCTGGAGGCCGAAAATAGCAGCAGCAACGACAACAAAAAGCGTTGTGACTTCTTCGCGACCCGAGGGGGCTGGGCACATGAGCGACGCAAAAATCGGGCCGGACGAAAGGGGGGGATTGGGAAAGGGGGGGTTACGAAATGTGCTGCATGCAGCTGGTTTCGGCTTCACCGAGGAGCCCAGTCCTCGATACGTAGCCGCCTCTGGCTGCGGGAGGCGCCGGGAAAATCAGCTACGTGAGCTGATTCTCAACCCCCCCCTTTGCTATCCGCCCCTCTTCGCCCGACCCGAAAAAAGAAACGGCGTCGTCTGCGCCGGCATTGGCGCGCAAGCTGCCCGCGCAAGTTCGCGCGTGGGTGCCCTCGTCGCCAATGCGGCGTGCCGCGCAGGCGGCCCGCGCAAGCCACTGCGTGAGGTCGCCATGCCACCTCGCGTGAGGCCCGTTTCTGATCGTCGCTCATATGCAATGGAGGATGACGATTAATCAATGACCGGGGGTCGTGTTCACGCGGCGGCGCCTGGGATGACGATAAGAAAAAACCGGCCGCGGGCTGGAAAACTATGTTTTTAATCGTTCTCCTCCAGTCAGAAAATGGTGCAGAAATCGCAGAAAACTATGATTTGAATCGTTGTCTCCCATTTTTTATTGATCGTCATCCCGCATTATCGTTACCTGTCTCTTCCCCCAGGCCCCCTGGCCGTGGTCCTCCGCACCGCCGAGATCCTCGGCTTCGTCAGGCCCGCCAGGAGAGAGACGTCAGGAGGTCTCTCTGCTGCCGTGGCCCTCTTGTGGGTCTCCAGGGGCCGTTCTCGGGCCCCTGGACCGTAGCTCGGCGGCGGGCGAGAGGGGGGGAAGTGAGAAGAAGAGGGCCTCCTCAGAAGGCGCAGCACTTCTCAGAAGCCCTCGTGCCTTCTGGGAGGGTTTTACGTTTTCTGGGAAGCCTTGGGAGCTTCTCAGAAGGCCAGGAGATCAGAGCCCCGAATCATCAGGGATAACTCGGGTCAGGGATAACTCGGGTTCGTTTTTCGGGAATCCAAGCCCGAGTTACCCCGGACCCGAGTTACCCCGGATAACTCGGGCGTCCAGAGCCCCGAATCATCAGGGGTAACTCGGGTCAGGGTTAACTCGGGTTCCTCTTTCGGGAATCCAAACCCGAGTTACCCCGGACCCGAGTTACCCCGGATAACTCGGGCGCCCAAGGAGACCTCCGAGCCTTCTGAGAAGGCCCGCCCCTTCTTACTTCCCCCCTGGGCCCGCCGCCGAGTTCAAAACGGATCCGGGGTGAAGCACTGCGCCGCATGGACCCCAGGAGGGGTCTGGGGACAGATTTTGACCGGAGTTGACTTCATCCGCCCCCCGCTTGACTTGTTTTTCTCGGAGCTCCGCGTGGACGTCTCGGATCGGCGCTGGGCTCCCCTGACGGCGCCTCCGCGCCGCTCGTTGTCGGAGGCGTTCGAGAGGGGGGTGTTGACTTGGCAGGGGGAGGTCTCATGGCGGGGCCCATGATGTCTCCCAGGATTTCATGGCACCCTCCCCCACTTCAATACTCAACATCTGTTGGCCTGCCTCTTCGTCTTTCAATGCGTCCCCTGGTCCCCCCCCTCTCGTCCGCGCACATGCCTCCGGCCATGAGTTGCAAACCCCCGTCTTGGACGCCCCCCCGTCTTGGACGCCCCCTGCCCTGGCGCGCTCCGCTCGCCCGGCAGGCGGCCAGCGCCGATCCCCAAGAAACTCGGCACGGAGGTCCGAGCGCCATGCGCTTCTGCTCTTCTTCCACAGGCGAAGTCCCGACTCGGGCGCCCTCTCGGCCGTCCACACGCCCGAGCTGGCGGCGCTGTGCCAGGTGAGCTGATGGGCCGGTTTTCCACCACCACCACCACCAGAAGTTGGGGGGGGGGGGAAGGAGGTGGAGCATGAGGAGGACGAAGAGGAGGAGGAGGAGGAGGAGGAGGAGGAGGAGGAGGAGGACCCCCTCCCCCTCCTACTTATGGTGGTGGGGGTGGAAAACAAGACCACCATGAGCGACTGCAGACAACGGGGTAAAGACTCTTCGGGCACGCTCGCGCGCGAGCTTCCCCCGCGAAAGGGGTCGAACGCGAGCGGCCGGCCTTCACTCTCCGTGCGCGGCGTGCCAGGCTCTGGCGGCCCGCGCAAGCCGCGGCGTAGGGTGCGCAACTTCTGGGAGGAACATCCTCGGCGGACCCGTCCAATTAATGAGGAACGCAAGCGCGAATCTCTGAGTGCCAACACTATTCGGGGAACCGTCAGAAACGGCACACGTAAGCCATAAGCGTCGACTTTCGGAGATCCGCGCGGATATTCTGGATTGGCGCTGGGCTCCCTCCCTGACCCGCCGGTCCGAGAATGCCGCGCGGACCTCCGAAAGCTGATGCTTGCACTGTTGTTCCCCATTCGGCAGGCTGGGGTGGCTAGATTTTAGTCGGGCTTGTCCCCCTACAGGAGGAACATTCAGAAATAGTCAAGGAATCGTCTGGGGACGATGTTCCGACGATTCTGGGAGCATTTTTGGAGTATTTTTTTGCGCATTTTCAATTTGTCACCCAAAATCCCCCTGTAGGGGGACAGGCCCGACCTGATGGTATATCCTTGGTCGACAACTGGCCTAATCTCGTTGCATCCTGGTCATTTCGATTTCGTGCTGCTCCATCCAGCCCAATCCCGCCCAGTCTTTCTGAATTCTGCGCAGATCTGGCCTGATCCGGCCCAGTGGCCCCTTATCATCTGGCCTGACAGCCCCTGATCATCTTTCTGACGACTCCCAGAAGTTGCCTCCCAAGTGATGTCTTCTCGCGTAAGACCCACGGTCGCGAAGAACCCACAGCTGGTAGGGTATCCTAACTGTCTTGACGCTGAGATGCTTTGCACGAGCCATGGTTGAATCGCCTGTCTCGGTGTACCCTGAGTATCTTCGCTGGCAGCCGCGAAGAAAGAAACCCAACCCTGACCCAAGGAACTTGCAGGCGAGTCTAAGGGTTGGGTTTCTTGCGATGCGCTTCTTGTGAACTCGTCCTGACTGTACATATGTTTATGTTGCATATTCGGGGGACCTCGCCTGTCCCCAACACTGGTACCTTTTCTTGGGCCCGACGCGGGCTCGATGCGGACTCGACGCAGATGTGGCCTGGATTCGACGCGGATTCGACACGGATTTGATCTGGATCCGACGAGTCCGACGTGGATTCGACACGGATTCGACGCTGAGAGGGCCGCGACGGGTCAGATAAGGTCCCCCGAGGATGCAACATAGTATGCCTTCTCGCGTCAGGCCCGCTTCCTGTCGTGCCCCAGCCTGTGGCCGGTGTCTTTTTTCTGGGGGGGGGGCGTTCGGCGGGCGTTGTTTTTTGTTCGCAGGCACGTCTGGCTTGTATTGGGGGTGCGTTGGCGGTGTGCCCCTGGAGGTCACCCAGAGGCCCTCTCCGAGCAGCTAGGCCCAGACAGAGCCCCTGGGCTGCTTCTCCGAGACTCGGGACCCCAGGCAAGGGGACCCAGTTAGTGGTAGGGCCCCGGAGCCCCTTAATCGGCCAGAGCCACTGAAAACCAGGTCTGCCGCAGCCTGTGCTTTTTCGGGTGACGGCAGTTCCAGTGAGCTTCGGCGCGTTAGTGATGCGCCCCCCAGCACACATCACTAAAGAAGGCCCCACTAGACCTAGTTCTACCAACGCCCGAGAAACTCTTCCGCCCCAGGTCTTCGCCGCGGACTCTGGCGTGCCCGAGGCGCTGCGGCGGGTCTACGAGGGCGCGGCCCCGCCCTTCCGCATGGCCTCGGCGGCGGCGTCGCTCTGCCTCCGGACCTGGGCGTCGCGGCGCCCCGAGTGGCACCAGAGGCAGTGCCCATCTTGATCCGATTCGATTCGGTTCGATCGGCCCGAGGCGATTCGATTCGGCGTCGACCCGATTCGGTTTCCAGTAGAAGAAAAAGCAACATAAACATAATGTGTTGGCGCTCAGCTCGGATTTCTTGGATCCGCGCCTGGGCCCCCCCGGCGGCGCTTCTGGCGCCGCCCCTGGCGCGCTCCGCGCGCCCGGAAGGGGGGTTCCAGCGCGAATCCAAGAAATCCGCGCGGAGCGCCAAAAGTTTATGTTTATGTGTCTGGTTTCTTCTTCTAGTTTCGGTAGCGACCCGTCGGCCGTCTCGAGCCGATGCCGATACCGATTTTCCACAGGTCCGATGCGGACTGGTGCTCGCATGGCGCTGTGGTGCATTGGCGCACCGATCCGCTTCGATTCCGACTCCGCGCCGATGCGATCCGATTCGAAACGCTTTCCGATCCGATATTGTTTCTCGATTCGATGTTTGCTGTTCTTGCAGAGGTGTGCGAGCCCAGACATGCGCACGCTGCTCGACGGCGTCGTCCTGGCACCTTTGTTGACCTCCTTGGTCTACTTCCACCGCTGGGACGAGGCTCCAAGGAGGAAAGGCAACGATACCGCTACCCTTGCCTCGTGGTTGCTGCTTCGGGTCTCGTGGGAGACCCTCTTCGCCACGGCCGAGCTTATACCTTGGAGTTCTGGTCCAAGACGCGCCCGAAGAGAGGCCCGCGGAGGAGCCGTGTTTATATATTATACCCAGAGATGCGACGTGTGGATTCGTCCATATACGCGGTCCCCCGAAGTCTCGACCTTTTCCCCTGGGCCAGGTTTTCGTCCTGAATTTGTTGATGTTCCAACCTACTTCAGCCTCGATCACCAGAAAGAATTTCGAGCACCAAAAAAGTACCGAAATTGGAAGGTGTTCACATGCCGGGCCCTGGGAGACACTCGTCCGACACTGGTTCGACACTTCCGACACTGTTTCGACACATTTCTGGGATGTGGTCCTTAAGTACGATGGGGGCAACATAACCCTGGGCCAGTTTTTCGTACCAGGTTGCCCTTTGACGGCCCCAGGGCTGGGCGCAGCCCCAATTCTTCCATACGTTGGAGGTCTTGGTATTTTTCTTCGTTTCCCTGGAGGTCGGGCTGGACCGCGGTCGGCGCAGCATGGAGACCATCGAGTGCGCCGGCCTCAGCGCCGAGGATGAAGTAGCGGCGACGCGTCCTGCCTCTCTTATATCAGGCCACCAAAATCAATGTTCTAGTAGAACATTTCTGGCTGGGACTGTCTTGTTTTGGCACATCGGGTTCATGCGCTATGATTTTTTGTTTTTCGAACATGTCTGGGTTCACAGAACATGTCATGGTCGGGTTGAGTCGGGCCTGTCCTTCTACAGGGGAATATTCGAAAATAGACAAACGAATACTCCGGGGGCGATGCCGTGACGATTTTCAAGCATTTGGGGGGCATGTTTTCCAGTATTTCTAACTTTTCGGGGGGCATTTGGGGGGCATGTTTTCCAGCATTTCTGATTTTTCGCTCAGGAGCCCCCTGTAGGGGGACAGGCCCGACCGAACGGCAGGCCGGCAGGAAGGGCCGGGACGCTTGGTCCTTGCCCAAGAGTCAAGCAGTGGCGAAGCGTCCTGGCGCGCCTATAGCCCTACCCAAACATGTCCTAAAGAACCCTTGTCTGTGGTTTCCACGAAATGTTCTGAGAACACTTCTGGCTGGGAGCGTCTTGGCTTAACACATGGGCTTCAGGTTCTAAGAACATCGCCTTCCTTCTTAGAACATTTGTGGGGTTCGAAGAACATTTCATGGTAGGACTATAGGAATGCCGGGACGGCCGGCCCCTGCTCAAAAGAGGACGCGGCGACGCTGGACGCGGTGCTGCGCGAGGCCGGCGTCGGCGGGTGCAGCCCCGACGGCACGGTGCGCGCGTCGCCGCAGGGGGCGCTGGCGCTGCAGAGGTCGGCGGCGCGCCCAGGGGGGGGGGGGGCGAAGGGCGTTGGCTGGCGTTCTCGGGCGCTCTCGCTGGTCACATTGAAGTCGGGCGTGTCCCTCTACAGGAGGAGTCTTCAAACATAGTCATATACATACATATATATATGTGTATATATATGCACTATTACCTAACAGCTTTTGCTGATAGGTTTCTAGTGGTGTCAAAAGAGAGCAGCAGATGACTCCACAGGGGGGTCGGGGCGGGACCCGGGGAGCTGTCTCCGAACTCGTGTCCGAATGCGTTTTTCGCAAACAGTCACACACTTCGTGCTCTTCGACCTCCCAGAACTCCACTCCCAGGCCACATTTTGAATGCCTGGAGCCAACTGTAGGCCACTTCGTGCTCTTCGACTTCCCAGAACTCCACTCCCGGCGTACATTTTGGATGCCCGGAGCCAACTGTAGGCCACTTCGTGCTCTTCGACTTCCCAAAATTCCATTCCCGGCGTACAATTTGGATGCCCGGAGCCAACTGTAGGCCACTTCGTGTTCTTCGACCTCCCAGAACTCCATTCCCGGGCCGCATTTTGGATGCCCGGAGCCAACTGTAGGCCACTTCGTGCTCAAAGGGCATGCCCACACGCCGGGTAAATCGTGTGCCTGATCCTTGCCTCCCGCTCTCCTGCTTCTTCTTTCATCGTAGTAGTAGTAGTAGTAGTAGTAGTAGTAGTAGTTGTAGTAGTAGTAGTAGTAGTAGTAGTAGTAGTAGTAGTAGTAGTAGTAGTAGTAGTAGTAGTAGTAGTAGTAGTAGTAGTAGTAGTCGTAGTAGTAGTAGTAGTAGTAGTAGTAGTAGTAGTAGTAGTCGTAGTTAGTAGTAGTAGTAGTAGTAAGTAGTAGTAGTAGTAGTAGTAGTAGTAGTAGTAGTAGTAGTAGTAGTAGTAGTAGTAGTAGTAGTAGTAGTAGTCGTAGTAGTAGTAGTAGTAGTAGTAGTAGTAGTAGTAGTAGTAGTAGTAGTAGTAGTAGTAGTAGTAGTAGTAGTAGTAGTAGTAGTAGTAGTAGTAGTAGTAGTAGTAGTAGTAGTAGTAGTAGTAGTAGTAGTAGTAGTAGTAGTAGTAGTAGTAGTAGTAGCCCCCCCCTCGTAGTAGTAATAGAAGAAGTAGTAGTAGTACTAGTAGTAGTAGTGAGGCTGAGGCTGAGGCAGGCTGAGGCTGAGGCTGAGGCAGGCTGATACTGAGGCAGGCTGAGGCTGAGGCTGTGACTGTGACTGCCGTTGCCACTGCGACTGTCATCGCGAATGCGACTGCGACTGCCAGAACAGGAGAATTCTACAATTGGATTCTCATCTGGATCTTAAGGGGAATGTTTCCATATATGCTTCTACACATCGCTGTTAGGTTGCTTTGCCGGGGTAGAAAAAATAATAAAAACAACAAACGTCAGGCGATCGCTAACATGGATTCAGGGGGCGTGGATTAGCGACGGGTCCCGTTTCCAAGGGAAGTCACGGATCGCCGCCGCCAAGCGAGGCGGCACCGGCCGCATTCTGGGGAGGGCGCCCCTATCCATGGATTTGGCGACCGCGCGCCAAATCCATGGATCGCTAATCCATGTTTGCGCGCCCCCGGTTCAGGAGGAACATTCAAAACTAGTCAAAAATAGTCTGGGGACGATTGTTCTAGTATTTATTATTTGGAGTATCTGTTGGGGTACTTTTTACCTAACAGCGAAGAATGATAGGTTTCTTATGGTCTCAAAAGAAAGCATCTTGACTCCTCAGGGGGGTCTGGACAGATGCCGGACGGGTGCCGGGGAGAATCCGCAGAAGTCGTTTTAAGCAAACAGTTACACATTTCGTGGTCTTCGAGGTCCCAGAACTCCATTCCTGGGCATGATTTTGAATGCCCGGAGCCAACTGTAGGCCACTTCGTGGTCTTCGAATTCCCAGAACTCCATTCCTGGGCATGATTTTGAATGCTCGGAGCCAACTGTAGGCCACTTCGTGGTCTTCGAGTTCCCAGAATACCATTCCTGGGCATGATTTTGAATGCCCGGAGCCAACTGTAGGCCACGTCGTGCTCTTCGAGTTCCCAGAATACCATTCTTGGGCATGATTTTGAATGCCCAGAGCCAACTGTAGGCCACTTCGTGTCCTTCGAGTTCCCAGAACTCCCTTCCCGGGCCACATTTTGAATGCTGAGGCAGGCTGAGGCTGAGGCAGGCTGAGGCTGAGGCAGGCTGAGGCTGAGGCCGAGGCTGAAGGCAGACTGAGGCTGAGGCTGAAGCAGGCTGAGGCTCAGGCTCAGGCTGAGGCTGAGGCTGAGGCTGAGGCAGGCTGAGGCTGAGGCTGAGGCTGATGCAGGCTGAGGCTGAGGCAGGCTGAGGCTGAGGCGTTGGCTGAAGGCAGGCTGAGGCTGAGGCTGAAGCAGGCCGAGGCTGAGGCAGAGGCAGGCTGAGGCTGAGGCTGAGGCAGGCTGATGCTGAGGCAGGCTGAGGCTGAGGCTGAGGCTGATGGGCTGAGGCTGAGGCAGGCTGAGGCTGAGGCCGAGGCTGAAGGCAGACTGAGGCTGAGGCTGAAGCAGGCTGAGGCTGAGGCTGAGGCAGGCTGAGGCTGAGGCTGAGGCAGGCTGGCTGAGGCAGGCTGAGGCTGAGGCTGAGGCTGAAGCAGGCTGAGGCTGAGGCTGAGGCCGAGGCTGAGGCCGAGGCTGAAGGCAGACTGAGGCTGAGGCTGAAGCAGGCTGAGCTGAGGCAGAGGCAAGCTGAGGCTCAGGCTGAGGGCTGATGCTGAGGCAGGCTGAGGCTGAGGCTGAGGCAGGCTGAGGCTGAAGGCTGAAGGCAGACTGAGGCTGAGGCTGAGGCTGAGGCAGGCTGAGGCTGAGGCTGAGGCTGAGGCTGAGGCTGAGGCTGAGGCTGAGGCTGAGGCTGAGGCTGAGGCTGAGGCTGAGGCTGAGGCTGAGGCTGAGGCTGAGGCTGAGGCAGGCTGAGGCTGAGGCTGAGGCTGAGGCAGGCTGAGGCTGAGGCTGAGGCTGAAGCTGAGGCTGAGGCTGAAGGCTGAGGCAGGCTGAGGCTGAGGCTGAGGCTGAGGCTGAGGCTGAGGCTGAGGCTGAGCAGGCTGAGGCTGAGGCTGATGAGGCTGAGGCTGAGGCTGAGGCTGATGAGCTGCTGAGGCTGAGGCTGAAGGCTGAGGCTGAGGCTGAAGCAGGCTGAGGCTGAGGAGGCAGGCTGAGGCTGAGGCTGAGGCAGGCTGATGCTGAGGCAGGCTGAGGCTGAGGCTGAGGCTGATGCAGGCTGAGGCTGAGGCAGCTGAGGCTGAGGCCGAGGCTGAAGGCAGACTGAGACTGAGGCAGGCTGAGGCTGAGGGCGAGGCTGAACTCCACTCCTGGGCCACATTTTGAATGCTGAGGCAGGCTGAGGCTGAGGCTGAGGCAGGCTGATGCTGAGGCAGGCTGAGGCTGAGGCTGAGGCTGACGCAGGCTGAGGCTGAGGCCCAGGCAGGCTGATGCTGAGGCAGGCTGAGGCTGAGGCTGATGCAGGCTGAGGCTGAGGCTGATGCAGGCTGAGGCTGAGGCAGGCTGAGGCTGAGGGCGAGGCAGAACTCCACTCCCGGGCCTCATTTTGAATACTGAGGCAGGCTGAGGCTGAGGCTGAAGCAGGCTGAGGCTGAGGCTGAGGCCGAGGCTGAGGCTGAGGCAGGCTGAGGCTGAGGCAGGCTGAGGCTGAGGCTGAGGCTGATGCAGGCTGAGGCTGAGGCAGGCTGAGGCTGAGGGCGAGGCTGAAGGCAGACTGAGGCTGAGGCTGAAGCAGGCTGAGGCTGAGTCTGAGGCAGGCTGAGGCTGAGGCTGAGGCAGGCTGATGCTGAGGCAGGCTGAGGCTGAGGCTGTGACTGCGACTGACAGTTGCCACTGCGACTGTCATCGCAAATGCGACTGCGTCTGCGAGAACAGCAGAACACTACAACTGGATGATCATCTGAATCTTAAGGGGAATGCTTCCAGATATGCTCCTACACATCGCTGTTAGGTTGTTTTGCCGGGATAATCTAAATTCTTCGTCCAAAATCCGCCTAGAGGGGGACATGCCCGACCTCACGTTAGCTGACGTTTTCGGACTCTCTCGCTAGTTACATAGGTGAACCCTCCGATCCTGGCGTTGCATCTTGTTCAAAACGGGCGTTTTCGCTCAACTTCGGGCCCTGGGACCCTCACAGAGCGATCCGGCTCGAAGGATGAAGCAGAAAGATGGGGTCCGGGGCTCCGGGCGTGCTTTTCTTGCGATGCTTCACTTTTTACCACGCCGGATCTCAGGGAACGAACAATGACATAAAAATAAAAACTCGGAGGTCCGCGCGGATTTCTCGGATCCGCGCTGGACCCCCCTGGCGGAGCCTCCGGCGCCGCCCCTGGCGCGCTCCGCGCGCCAGGGAGGGAGGTCCAGCGCCGATCCGTGAGATCCGCGCGGACCTCCGAGTTTGTATGTTTATGTCATTGCTCGTTCCCTTATTACAGGGGCCGAGTGCACGTATGAGTGACCCTTGGCCGGCGTGACCTTTGGTGCGGGCCCATCGGGGCCCCCCGATCGCCGAACGCGAGGCGGCAGTGGCGTCTTGTGCGCCTGTGCTTGGTCCCCTCGCGGCCCCCAAAACGCCGCGCACCATCGGCCGCTCTGAATCGCCCAGGGTCGCTCCTGCGTGTAGCCGAGAACAGGGTGTTCTCCAGCCTCAGCATGCTGTCCAGCTGCCGCGCCTCGCCGGGGGCGTTCTGGGTCTGCCTGGATCGTCCCCCGCGTCCGCCAGAGAGCCGCATGTTTACGACCTCCTCCCTCCTCCCTCCTCCCTCCTCCCTCCTCCCTCCTCCCTCCTCCCTCCTCCCTCCTCCCTCCTCCCTCCTCCCTCCCTCCTCCTCCTCCTCCTCCTCCTTCCTCCTCCTTCCCTCCTCCTCCTCCTCCTCCTCCTCCTCCTCCTCCTCCTCCTCCTCCTCCTCCTCCTCCTCCTCCTCCGCCACCAAGCCTTGCACGGCTTCTCAGACGGCGCGAGCGCCTCTGGTGAGCCCCACCGCCTGCTGAGGAGGCCGGACCCCCGGCTCTCGGGCATCGGCTCTCCGGCGGCCAGTCGTCCACTGAAAGCTCTTGGCGAGGCGCAGCTGGTGGACAGCAATCCCGAGGCTGGAAAACATCCTGGAACAGACGAAGCGTTCGAAAACGCCACCAAACGTCCCTCGCTCCCTCGCTTCCCCCTGGGCCCCGCCGCCGAAGAGGGTCTACACCTTCTTCCCCGCCACGTCCTACTGCCCGCTGCTGGCGAGGCTGCACCACATCCTCTTCGAGGACGCGGCCTGGGGTTTCGCCTCTCGGCAGCCCAGCGACGGGGACCAAGAGCAGCACGTCAACCGCACGCTGAACGTGGTGGGGAGTGGTGCTCAGCACAGGTCCTTGGTGAGGCTTCAGGCTGCGCACCCAGACCCTCTCGCGTTGTGAAAGAGCATGACGGAACGTTTTTTAATTGGGGGTCATCGCCACGTCCCGTGATTGTGAAACAATGCCTCAGGATGAAAAAGCCGGTCCCTGGAAATGGGTCTAGACTTCCAGGGGTTCACGTTACGAAAAAAAACGTGACGTCGGGGGTCTGGGGACTTTGGTAAGGCTTCGGGCTGCGCACAGATAGACCTTCAGATAGTCCCATTGCAGCTGGCCTCAATAGGCCCCCCGAGCCATCCGGGGCGGGCTCAACACCGTGGCGCCGCCTCTGGCGGCGCCCCGCCGCAGCACCCCAGGGTTGGGGTGTTGAGACCGCTCCGGACTCTTCGGGGGGCCCGTTCCGGCTGCCTGGGAGAAGTCGGGGGGGCCTCGTGAGGCCAGTCGGAATTTCTTGCGGCCTGGACCCCATCCTCTGTTGCATGTTGCAGGCCTGATCGATCTGTGATGGTCCCGGGGCCCGAAGCTCGGCGAAAACTCCTGGTGTGAGGAAATTGCAACGCTCGAAGTTCAGGGTCTGTGCGCAGCCCGAAGCCTCAGAGGGCGTTTTACTTCAGACCCAGGCGAGTGCACTTGCACGGCATCCCCTCCCCCTCCGCCGCCTTCTCGAAGGCGTACAAGAGAGTTCAGACTTGCCTCCCCTTTGCCCTCCACGATTCCTCCGCGAGTTCGGGCTTCCCCAACACGGTGAAGTCCGATCGATTTCTTTCGGGCTTCTGTTTTGCCGTCTACGGCCATGTCTCGGCCAGGTGTTTGAGGCAGCAGGCACGAGACACCACCTGCCCTCCTCAAAAAATCGGTCCGACACGTCCGAGAAGAGTATTCCTTTCAGGCCTCGCCCCTCTCCCCTCCCCCTCCCCTTCCCCCCTCCCGCGTACAGTCAACCCGCATAGCAAGGATGGGCAACCTTCCCAAGGGTACCCTGGCATCCTCGCCTTCTCGGCCCAGCCTTGGCCGCTTTCACTGGCCGCGGCCCGCTCGAAAAGCTTCGAAATGGGCATCCAGGGCCCTTGCATCCCTTATCGCGCATCCTTACTAAGCACGTTGACCGTGTCGAGGCCACGGCCTCCACGGCCACGCCCTGACGGGCGCGCGAGCGCGCGGATCCCGTGCTCGGCTCGCCCGCTCGCCCCCCTCTCCATGCAGGCAGACTTGCCAGGATCGATGGCCTCAAGTCGGGTCTGTCCCTCTACAGGGGGAATGTTCAAAAATAGGTTTAAAAATAGTCTGGGGACAATTGTTTCTGCTATTTTGGGGGTATTTGGGAATACTTTGGGGGTATGCTTCATGTTTCGACCAAGGTACGCCCGTAGGGGCACAGGCCCGACTTAACTATAGCTTCTTGTCCAGCCCCCCGACGTCGTGAGATTTTACCAGCCTGGAACATATCCCTATCCCTATGCTGGGCACCTCCTCGTCACGATGCCAATCTTAGGGACTCCCTTATGTTTTGAGGGCGAATCCATAAGATTGTCATCGCCTTTTGGCGTGTCAATCTTAGGGATAGGGATACGTTCGAGGCTGGTAAAGATTTGCTCATGACGTCGACCCCCAAAGGTGTTGCCGAACTCCTGGGGACCACACTGTCGTCCCGGGTGCTCTTGGTGGACGGCCCCGAGGGCCCGGCCGGCGCCCCCTCAGAGGCCGGAGATAGCGAAACGGTGTCCGTCGTGGTCTCTGCATGGCCGCCTGGTCTTGGTGCATTTCTCCTCCTCCTTCTCGTTCTCCTCCTCCTCCTCCTCCTCCTCCCTCTTATATTCCTTCTTCTTCCCCTCCTCCTCCTTCTCGTTCTCCTCCTCCTCCTCCTCCTTATTCCTTCATGGCCGCCTGTTCTTGGTGCATTTCTCCTCCTCCTCCTCCTTCCATCGTTTCCTCCCTCTTCCCCTCCTCCTCCTCCTTATATTGTGGATCCGTTGAGTGCCTTATAGAGGGGGTCCGGGTGCCTGCAGTCGGCCCGGATTAGCAGGTCGACCCTGCCAGGTCAAGGGTGCCCCTGCGTCCTGTGCCTCGCGACCCCATGCCTCCTGCATCCCTACGTCAGCGTGCCCCTCGGAGGGGGGCCTCTCGTCCTCCCTCGCGTGCCCTCTCCAAGCGAGTCCGACCGCAGCACAGGTCCTTCTTCCGGGACTTCGCGCAGCTCCTGGGCCCCGTCTTCTCGGGGCGGGAGCCCCGCAGGCAGCCCGCCTTCGTGGCGGACACGGGCTGCGGCGACGGGACGCTCCTCGCGCAGATCTACGCCTACGTGCGGGACCACACCCCGCGCGGCCAGGTTCGGAGGAGGGCGCCAGTCGGCCACGCGCAGAGGTGCAGGGGGAGAGGGGGAAAGGCTTCTTAGGGGCACCGCTGCTTCTTGGAAGGCGCGGGCTGTGGCTGTAGGTGTAAGGCCGGCGCCCTCTAAGAAGCAGCCGCCTTCTAAGAAAGCTTTTCCCCACTCCCCTGCCCCCTTCTGCGCGCCGCCAGGCCCGCCGAGACATCGGCGGTGGTCCCTGGCGCTTCTCGCCCTCCCTTGCTGGGCCTCCGCACAGACCCCCCGCGGGCCACGACGAACAGATCACGGGGCAGCTCTTCGCTGCTTTCAGCTTCTTTGGCGGCCCTGGCCGGGGCTCGGGCTGGCAGTTGGAAGAAGTCATGACGTTCGGTAGCAAATCATGGGAGCCTTGTGTACCCTCGCAATTTTGTCTTCAGCGTCGATGAGATAGCGCTTAGCGTCGGCCAGTGTCAGTTAGCGTCGATTTAGCGTCGACTAGCGTCGACTTAGCGTCGACTAGCGTCGATTTGCAAGGGCCGACAAGGTGGTATGGAAGGCTCCCGTGAGCTGCCACCGACCAGGGCCGGATTTGAACGACAGTTTGTTGGACTTCGGTCGTGCTCTGTTTTTCGTTTCGGCAGGGAGGTGCAGGACAAAACGGAAAACAGCGTTTACCAGGAGGAAGAAAAAACACACAGACACAATGAATCGCCGATTCCCAGGAGAATATGCGAGAATATGGGAAGTGGGGGGGGGGAAGACAGAAACCTTCAAAATAGGGGGAGTCTTGGGACCTGTGTGTATTTATGTGTGTGTGTGTGTGTTTGTGGGCCCCTTCAGTTTACAGTGCCGTTTTTTTGAATACACGCTCCGCGTGCGGATCGTGTATTTCACATGCCGGGATTCAGTATTAAGAACAACGATGAGTTCCTGCATAAATTCATCCATGAATTAGGCATGCATCAGACATCCTATATGCTTCAAAATCCGATGTATTAAAAACTGCCCTGTCGGTCCTTCCCTGCCACCGACCGCGACGTCGGGGGTCCGGGGAGGAGAGCTCCCCGAGGCCGACCACGGCGGCCCCCCCGGGCGCGCCGCGCCCGCCTGGGGTGGCTTTCCGGGAGCCTCCCCGTGGCCCCGTGGCCGCGACATGCGCCCCGACGGACGTCGGGGGCGGCCAAGATCAGGAGGGACAAAAAGCACACAGACACAATGAATCGTCGATTCCCCAGAAAATGTTGGAGAATATGGGAAGTGGGGGGGAAGACACAAACCAAGAAGATATGGGAACAGATGGGGAATCTGGTTATTTGTGTGTATTTATTTGTGTGTCCCAGGGCCCCTTCAAAAGAGGGGGGTGACGACTGGGCCTAAGTCGGGCCCGTCCCCGTACAGGGGGAACTTCAAAAAGAAACAAAAAAAATAGTCTGGGGACCATTTTCAGAGTTTGTTTGACTACTGCTGCATTTTTTATGTCTGCATGTATTTATGTATGTATGTGTTGTTTCATCCAGTTGTTTTGAACATATTGTTTAAAATTACTCCGACGGAAGAACCCCACATAAGAATCCTCTGGGCGAATCTGGAAAAAGCCATCACCGTCGTCCTCGTGGTTGGTGAGGCGTCCTGGCTGTCTCTTCTGCGTATATTTCCTCTCGCCTTGGCGCGGGCCCCCCTTCCACTCCTTACGTTGTCCCCATCCTCGCCCCCCTGTTTGTTCCGCGCCCCGCCACCTCCTCCCCTTCCTGTTGCATGAGCGCGCATGTCGATGTTCCTCGGCGCCGTCGCCGCCACGGCCAGCACAGGCGCGTTCTCTACAGGTCACGTCGCGCAGCCGTTGGGACAACCCCGCGGGCCAGGCTGTCGGGACAACCCCGCGAGCCGTTGGCGCGCAAGACCAAGCCGTTGGGACAACCCCGCGGGCTTCGAGCGAGGCGCAGCCGCGCTCAGGCGGAAGGCAGCACGAAGCCCAGCTCTGCCGCGAGCTGCTTCGCCTCCGCCCTGGACAAAACCGTCTCTTGTCGAACTCCAGGAGCGCCTTCCGCAGGGACGCCGGCGGCCCGCACTCCAGGAACTCTCGCGGCGGCGGCCGCAGGATCAGCATGTTCCGCATGCACGTGGCGCGGGAGAACATGACGTAGAGGTGCAGCCACCACTGCTCGTCCGACATGCCCGTGCGGCCAGCGTCCTCGTCTCTCGCGCAGTCGATGGTGACGCCCTTGCGCAGCGTCTGGCCCTGCGACAGCGTGGAGGTCAGGTAGGACGCGTGCGTCAGGGTGAACCCCGAGCGGCGCACGCTGTGCGCCCCCGAGCTCTGCCATGTGAACTCCCTTTCGCTGGGCCTGAACATCAGCAAGCTCCGCGCCCGCGCCTCGGCCTGGCCGTCGTCGTCGGCGCCTTCGGCGCCCTGTCGCAGCACCTCGGCGACCTGAGGAGCCCAAAAACTTCCTTGTTGCATCCAAAGTGTGGCCTGGGAACTGCGTTCTGGCAGCGCGAGAACCCAACATTGACGACAGTTACAGGTTTTGGATGACCTGCTCGGATTACCAACATGATCTGCGGGCCCCATAGGGAGGGGGCTCCCGCCTGAGACTTCCTCGCAGTTCACTCACAGACGAGGCTCCCGCCTGAGACTTCCTCCATATTCAGGCTTGAGGAGCCCAAAAGTGACGACAGTTACAGGGTTCCGATGACCCGCTCGGATTACCAACATGATCTGCGGGCCCCATAGGGAGGGGGCTCCCGCCTGAGACTTCTTCACAATTCACTCAAAGACGAGGCTCCCGCCAGAGACTTCCTCCAAATTCAGGCTTGACGAGCCCAAAAGTGACGACAGTTACAGGGTTCCGATGACCCGCTCGGATTACCAACATGATCTGCGGGCCCCATAGGGAGGGGGCTCCCGCCTGAGACTTCCTCGCAGTTCACTCACAGACGAGGCTCCCGCCTGAGACTTCCTCCATATTCAGGCTTGAGGAGCCCAAAAGTGACGACAGTTACAGGGTTCCGATGACCCGCTCGGATTACCAACATGATCTGCGGGCCCCATAGGGAGGGGGCTCCCGCCTGAGACTTCTTCACAATTCACTCAAAGACGAGGCTCCCGCCAGAGACTTCCTCCAAATTCAGGCTTGACGAGCCCAAAAGTGACGACAGTTACAGGGTTCCGATGACCCGCTCGGATTACCAACATGATCTGCGGGCCCCATAGGGAGGGGGCTCCCGCTTGAGCCTTCCTCAGAATTCACTCACAGACGAGGCTCCCGCCTGAGACTTCCTCCATATTCAGGCTTGAGGAGCCCAAAAGTGACGACAGTTACAGGGTTCCGATGACCCGCTCGGATTACCAACATAATCTGCGGGCCCCATAGGGAGGGAGCTCCCGCCTGAGACTTCCTCCCAATTCACTCACAGACGAGGCTCCCGCCTGAGACTTCCTCCATTTTCAGGCCTGGGGAGCCCAAAAGTGACGACAGTTACAGGGTTCCGATGACCCGCTCGGATTACCAACATGATCTGCGGGCCCCATAGGGAGGGGGCTCCCGCCTGAGACTTCCTCACACTTTACTCAACGATGATGAGGATGAGGATGATGAGTGGTGGTGAAGATGAGTGGTGAAGAGGATGATGATTGATTGTGGGTGGTGGTGGCGATGATGATGTTTGAATGAGGATGATGCCGATACCGATGATGACGATGATGTTCGTGAGCGTGTGAGAGAGTGCGAGTGATGATGATGTGTGTGTGTGAATGAGTGCGAGGAGAAGAGGGGGTGAGTGTTCCTGCGCGGGGTGTCCAGAGAAAACAAGAACCCCACTTTGGATGTGGGGAACAAGCAAGAACTCCAAGATCCGCCTGCTGGGGCAAATGCTCGACCTAAGACTGGGGGGGAATATCATGGCTTGGGCCATGATGTTTTCTCTTATTTCATGGCGCTTCGTCTTCTCGCGTGACGTCCCTGGCCCCTACCCCCCACCTGGGCCGCGCACATGCCGCCTGTCATGATTTGCGCCCCCCCCTCCTGGACGCCCCCCTCTTGGCCGCCCCCGAAAACGAGGCCAGAAGGACTTCGGGAGGGGCCCATCATCGAGAACTAAAGATTCCCTAACCCTAATAGCACAGTGAAGACGTGGCCTCACTGAGGTCCCCGTCTTTGCCCTAGGGATCCTAGCTCTGGGCGGCGATACACCTGCAGAAAAAAAAACTGTCCCTCATGCTTTTGGCCCTCTAACTCAGGTCCCTCCCAAAGGCTTAGGGGCCCTTTTCTTGAGCAGTCTGTCCAGTGCCAGATTTGGAACGGCCTCGGGCTGGGCGGGAGAGACGCCGCTGCCTCAACGGGCCCTCCTCCGACAGGTCTTGCACGAGCACCCGCTGACCATTCGAAGGACAAAACGCCGCACCGACAGAAAACTTTCGGAGGCCCGCACGGAGTTCTCGGCTCTGCCTTGGGCCCCCCTTTCCCTGGCGCGCGGCGCGCGCCCCAGGGGCGGTGCCGCGGGCGCCCCTCCGGGCTTCAGGGGGGGCGGCGCCGCAGGGGCAGGGCCGCGAACTCCTCCTCCTCCTCCTCCTCCTCCTCCTCCTCCGCCTCCTCCTCCTCCTCATCCTCCTCCTCCTCCTCCTCCGCCTCCTCCTCCTCCTCCTCTTCCTCCTCCTCCTCCTCCCTCCGAAAGCTTGTGCACGTGCGGTTTGCTTCGTCTTTCCAGCCGTGGTGGGCGTGGACTTCAACGGCGCCTCCCGCGAGGCCACCTCGGCGAACCTGGCGGCCCTGGGCATCCCGCACCTCGTGCTGCCTGGCGACAGCTGGCGGGCCTGTTTGCCGCCACCGCCACCATGAGTTGGAGGGGGGAAAGGAGGTGGAGGACGAGGAGAAGGAGGACGAGGAGGAGGAGGAGGACGAGGAGGAGGAGGAGGAGGAGGAGGGGGAGGGGGAGGGGGAGGACCCCCTCCCACTCCAGCTTCTGGTGGTCGTGGTGGAAAACAGGCCCGTCGACATCGGCCGGCCGGCCGACATCTCCCGGGCGCTCGCGGAGGCGGGGGCGAGCGCCTCCCAGGCGCGATGGGAGACGCCGTGAAGCAGCAGCATCGACGTCGGTCGGGCCTGTCCCTCTACAGGAGGAATACCCCCGAAATAGTCTGAAGATAAAATATGGGGACTGTGTTTTGACTACTTTCGAATCTGTTCAGGCTATTCTGCACGTGTCCCCCCAAAATCCGCCTGTAGCTATCGGCGTCACCCCAGCATACTTATACTAGGTCTTCGTCGCCCCCCCGGGGGCGACACGCTCACCGAGAAATCTTGTTGTATATGCGTCGTGGCGGGCGCTTTCTGGCCACACCGCTCGAGAAACGATATACTACAAGATGGGTATACTATATGTTCTTGTCGGACGCGCGCCTCCAAGGCGGACATATAGTATTAGTATGTCTCTGTGCGTCCCATGTAGGGGGACATGCCCGACCTACGCGTACACGTAGCGGCTCGGAGGTCCGCGCGGGCTTTGTTGGTCGGGGCTGGCCCCCCAGAGGGGGGAGAAGGTTCGGGTATAGCCAGGACCCCAGGGGCCCACTGTAATTGGCTTCTTTGCCAGTGCAGGAATTCGACGGCTTGTTATGCAAAGCAGGGACTCGAGGGCCCACCGCGGCACAGGGAGTGCCACCAGAGGTTCGGCGCCAGAAGGCAGCGCAGCGAATACAGCACCTGCCAGAATCCCCGATGGCTCGTCAGTGGTGCACCGATGGTGCGCCGATGGCCTGTCGGGTATAGCCAGGACCCCAGGTAATGGGAGCCGGTTGGTAGTAGAGCCCTGGAGCCCCTAAACGGGCCAGAATCACAAAGCCAGGTCTGCCGTAGCTGGTGTTTTTTCTTGTGGCGGCAATTCCGGTTGGTGGAATGGGACGGGGAGGGGCGTCCCCGATACAGATCACTAAACCAGGCCCTTTAAACCCAGTCCTGTCATCGCCCGAAAGGTATCCATACCGCTACCTGTCACCCCGTCTTCTCCTTCTCGGGCCTCCTGGGAGGCCCTCGTCGTCACCGTTGGACTCGCCTCGGAGCTCTTGTCAGAAGCCACCCCAGGAGAGGTCTGGAGAGCAGCGGCATCGGTAAACTGTAGCTTCCCCAGCTAGACCCCCTACCCCCTGGCGGCGCCTCTGGTGCCGCCCCTGGCGCGCTCCGCGCGCCAGGGGGAAGAGCCCAGCGCCGATGCAGGACTCCCGCGCGAAGCTCACAGTCATTGCGTTGCCATGTGGAGCAGAACGCAAGACAAGTAACGAGGGGGGCCCCTTCTGGCCACGACGAGGCGGCCAGAGAACTGGAGCCCCTCCTCCGCCCAGGGCGGCCCTTCCTTCAGCGTCTTGACTGTAAGCAGATGTTTGTTCTTCAGTAGCAGCAGAAGGTGTGTGTTTTTATGCTTCGTGTAAATGCCACCCGCATAAGATCTCGGCTGGGCATAACACTCGTGCTTCCCCTCCTCCTGCTCCTTGCCCTTCTCCTCCTCATCATCATCATCATCCCCCTCCTCTTCCTTCTTCTCCTCATCCTCCACCTCCTCATCATCATCAGCATATCATCATCAACATCATCAGCAGCATCATCATCCTCATCTCATCGTCCTCCTCCCTCTACCCCCGCCCCATCCTTCTCCATCCTCCTCCCTCCTCGTCCTCCCTCCTTCCCCTCCTCGTCCTGTCCTTGATAGCCGGCCTCCTACTCCTCGACCTGCCTCTTTGCCTCTGCCGTTAGTAGGTATCGGGGTGCCTGGGGCAATTCTTCCCAGGCCCCCGACGTCATGATCTCTTCATAGCGTCCACCCCCAGAGGTCTCGACCGATTCCCGCGGTCCCGACCTCGCATCCCGAGGCGGCTCTGTGACGGTCCCGTGGCCCGGCCGGGGCCCCCCAGAGGCCGAACATCGCGCACCGCTTTCCGTCGTGACTCAGGAGGGAAAGAAACACACAGACACAATGAATCGTCGATTCCCAGGAAAATGTGCGAAAATATGGGAAGTGGGGGGGAAGACAGAAACCCAGAACATATGGGAAAATATGGGGAATATGTTTAGTTGTGTGCATTTCTTTGTGTGTGTCCTTGGGCCCCTTCAGCGACTCTTTGTCGTGGCCCCAGGGGGGGGTTCTGGGTCCGGAGGTGCTCCACGTGCGGTCCTTCCTGGACCACGACCGCCCCTTCCTCCCCCCGGAGCGGGAGGTGGCGGGCGGCAGCGCACGGGAGGCCTTTGTGCGGCGGCAGTTCGCGGACGCGGTGCACCTGGACCAGCAGGTCACCAGCCTGGAACCTATCCCTATCCCTAAGATTGGCACGCCAAAAGGAGATGTCAATCTTAGGGAGACAACCTCAGGAGCTGAGGAAATCCCTGGGATCGCCATCGTTATGAGGCGATGCCCAGCAAAGGGACAGGGATATGTTCCAGGCTGGTAAGCAGGGGGCGCCGCTGGGAGGCCCGGCCGTGTACCAGTCCCTCGTCGAGCACTTCGAGAGGTGCAGGGTCCTGATGTTCCAACCTACTTCAGCCTTGACCGCCAGAAAGAATTTCGAGCACCAAGAAAGCACCGAAACTCGGGGGTTTTCACGTGTCGGGCCCTGGGAGACACTCGTCCGACACTGTTTCGACACTTTTCCGGGTGCTCGAAATTATTTTTGGGATGTGGTCCTTAAGTACGATGGGAGCAACGTAAGTGCAGGGCAACAGACATTGTGTTGCATTTTCGGGGGGCCTCGCCTGTCCCCAACATTGGTGCTCGATGCGGGCCCGACGCGGATGTGGCGTGGATTCGACGCGGAGTCGACACAGATCAGACACGGATCCGACGAGTCCGACGTGGATTCGACACGGATCCGACGCGGCCAGGGCAAGGTCCCCCCAGGATGCAACGCAACAAACAGTTACATAGACAGGAAAAAGTCAGAGGTCCGCGCACAGTTCTCGGACCGGCGCTGGAGCCCCCTTTGCGGCGCCTCCGGCGCCGCCCCTGCGCGCGTGTCTTGCGCCAGGGAGGGAGGCCCGGCGCCGAGCCGAGAAACATCCGCGCGGTGCTCCGAGCTCTGCTATGCCTGTGCTGCTGTGCTTGTTCCCCCAAGGTGGGGCGACGCGGTGGACGGCTCGCACGGCCTCTGCCTCCTCGAGGTGCTTTGTTTAACGGGCGAAGAACGGTATAAAATAAACTGTTTCGCTGTCGGGGGCGCCTGTCCCAGGGCGGCTGGAAAGTTTCTACCCTTACAGTGGCACCGTAGGGGTATAAACTTTCCAGCCGCCAAGGGGCAGGCGTCCCCGACGGCGGAAGAGTTTTATGTTATACCGTTCTTCGCCCGCTGATTTGTCGCTCGACCTCCGAGGTGGGGTCGGAGCAGGCGGGGTCGGCGGGTCGTGCCGCAGCGCCGATGCATCGGCGACGCGGCTCGATGATCTGGAGCCTGGCTCCCTCCGCGGCCGACGCCGCCGAGGCATCGCAGGAGTCGCCATGTGCATCGGGGGTGCACCGACGGTGCGGCGCGGCCCTCGGAGCCCAGCTGCTCCGACCCCACCTGGGATGCCCCATTTACCGTGGGCGGGGAGCAGACGGGCGCCGGCCGACACCTCCGTCGATCCGGGATCCAAGTGACCTGGCATCGCTCGTACGTTTGTATTTTTTTCTCGGCGAGGACCTTTGAGGATCCTCCTTGATCACTTGGCGAAAAAAACACGCACGAAACCGCGAAAAACACAGGGAATGGACGCCCCAGCGATGGCCAGGTGAGGTGCCGCGGCTGGCGTCTTTTGTTCGGGGGCGCGCGCCCCGAAGTTTGGCTCGCGAGCGCCGAGATCCTAAGCATGGCCGCGGTCGAGGTCCACGGCCTCATGGGATCCGCGGCCATCGTGGGTGCGGGGCGTGCTGCCGCGGACGCCCCGCGAAAGAGCGGATGCCCACGCCGCCGCGCATCCGCGGGGTCGCGCGCCCAGCGTCCGGGCCGCGGGGGCGCGGAGGCGGGCACGTGTGCGCCGCTCGAGAGCTGGTGGTTCCCAGGACGTGTGTTCGCCAAGTGTGTGTGTGTGTGTTGTGTGGTGTGGTGTGGTGTGTGGTGTGTGGTGTGTGGTGTGTGGTGTGTGGTGTGTGGTGTGTGGTGTGTGGTGTGTGGTGTGTGGTGTGTGGTGTGTGGTGTGGTGTGGTGTGGTGTGGTGTGGTGTGGGGTGGGGTGTGGTGTGGTGTGGTGTGGTGGGGTGGGGTGGGGTGTGGTGTGGTGTGGTGTGGTGTGGTGTGGTGTGGTGTGTGTACGTGCGTGTGTGCGTGTGTCTCTTTTACCCCGTCTGACTCCGCCGATAGCACGCAGCCTGCGTCGGCCTTCACAGTACCGCCTGCGTCGTGTGAAAGGGCTTCGGTGGACGAGCACACGCTGGCGTCAATCTACGTTCCGAGAACCATCGAAGGTGATGATCCTCGACGTGGCGTCCACCCAGAGGTGCTTCAGCGACAACGTCTCCTTCCACTTCGACGTCGAGGAGGCGCTGTCGCGCCAGTACCTGGTGCCGCCCGTGGCGTTCCACCTGGCGCTCGGCGAGGCCGGGCTCCTCAGCTCGGAGGAGGCCCAGGTTGAAGCAGCGGCGTTTCTCCCGCTCTGTCTAAATACGCTCGCCCCCCCTTCCTCTCGTGTTTGATGTTGTTTCCACAAGAGCTATAGACCCCCTCTGGGAATTAAGAGCTAGCCTTGGGATACTAGAACTTACACATGGTTCGATCCCATCCATCATTTTAAGCGTGAGCCCACACTACCCGGGACAAGCCAGTATTGGCCCCTCTCCCTCATCCCTGCCAAATAATACCATGCGCGCGCACTCGTTTATCGAAAACCAGCCATTTCCAGGAAACCTCTGCAACAGACGAGACAAAGTCGACACGGGCGCGGCGTCACGCGCGCATGTCGAAAGAAATCTTTCAAAAACGCCAGATTCCTGAACGATTTCAAGGTCGAGGTTCCCGAAATTGTATAAACAATTGAAATCCAGCGGTTTTGGAACATTTCACAACATCTGCGCGGTTTTGCCCATTCGCGAGAAAACCACGGTTGGTTCAATATTTACATCAGATGCATATAAGCGGGCTTTTCGCGCGCGCATGTCGCATTCATTCAATTTCTTCGCGCGCATGCTAGGGGGGACGATCCTCGTCACAGAATACCATGTGGGCTACTCGTGCGCGCCAGCCGCGCGCGCATGCCGAAACCTTTTTCAGAACCTCCATCGCCGACGCGTGGACACCATCACTATCACTATCACTATCACTGCCGCTTCCAGCATCGGCACCGTCATTGGCCTTGTCGTCATAATCGTCACCATCGTCATCTCTTCGGCCCTTGTCGACGTGGTCACGATACCGCGCCCGTTCGAGTCACGGACCCGCGCTGAACCGCCCGCTCGCCAGCGCGGCTTGCTAGACGCGTTGGGAAGGTCCCAGCGGTCAGCGCCATCGCGGCCGCGTCAGTTGTACCGAACTCTGCTCGTGAGCCTGCGCGCGCCAGCGCGGCCGCAAAGACCCGCCAGCCAGCGCCAAGCAGTCATCGCAGACGTTGCCGCATGCTTTTGCTTGCGACCGGGCGGGGGGCTTGGGCCTCCCAGGGCCATCCCCAGGCCACGGGACCTTCAATCCGCTCGCCCCGTCGCCGGTGTGACTTTTGGCGCGGGCCCAGAGGGCCCCCCCCTCAGTGCCCAGTGCCCGCCCCCCGCGTTGCCCTGCGCATGTACATTTCGCCCCACAGTGGCCCCTTCAAGCCGCGCGCCCAAGGCCACTGTTGCGTAGGGCCACTCTTGCGTGCAGGCGATGCTCGTTTGGATGGAAAACATGCTCGGCCTTATGCAAAGGCCCTCGCGGGGCCACTGGACCGTCAAAAACCGACGTGGGATGAGAAAACGTTCCCTGGGAAGGGGCCGAGACCGCTGTGTCCAGGCAGCGCGGGCCCGAAACAGCGCGTTTCTGGCCAAGTATGTTGTGCATTCTGCGTTGTGCAATTCGCGCTACCACTGATTTAGTTGTCAACTCCACTGCTCGCGCAATCATCCCACCCACCCACCACTGGTTTGAAAAACCATGCGGCGGCGATTACAATGACTGTTCGGCGCTGGCTGGCGCATCACCGCGGCCGCGCTGGCGCGCAGGCTCGCGCGTGGAGCGGCCAGCTGGTCTGGCGCCACCGACGCGGCCGCGGTGGCGCTGACCTTTGGGGACTCCCTGGAGCGTCTCGCAGGCGGCGCTGATGCGCGGGCACTTCAGCACGAGTCAGCGTTTCGGGCGGGCGCAATATCATGGCGAGGCCGACAACGGCTGAAACGATGATAGTAGCGATGCTGGCGACCAGGATGACAACGACGACGGCACAGCCAAGGACGGCGCCGATGCTGATCACGCCAGTGACGGTGATGGTGCCCACGCGTCGGTGATGAGGATTTTGGGGGGATTGTGACATGCGCCCGCTGCCGACGCGCGCGAGTTGCCTGCACAGTCGTTCGGCAAGGGCGCGCGACGGCGCGCGCGTGCACCTCGTCCCATTTGATGCAAAGGTGCCTCGGCAACTGATGGTTTTGATAAACGAGTGCGCGCGCGTATTCTTAATTGACGAGTGGATGTGCTGGCTTGAGTTGGAGAATACGAGCTCATATTGAGAATGAAATATGGGGCAGACTCATTTGTAAATTGGTCACCCCTGGCCGGACGGAGAACTTGAGCTCTGGGCGGGGTAGATCTTTATTTGTGTGTGGAAAGGAGAATCTGCGTGTATCACTCCATGTGGTGCAATTCGCCCCATCCGAGCGTTAAGTTGTGAAAGAGCGCGCCCTGGCGAACTTGAAGCTCGTGCGCCCTGCCGGAGTCCGATGACCGTGGATGACGGGGGATGGTTCTGATAGGCGGGCTCGCGCGCATCGTATGTTTTGTCAACGAGGGGGGGGGGGGGTCGAGCCTGGCGTGGATGTGGTGGCACGCGTTACACTTCAGAATGAACGATGGGGCAAAATAGCATGTAACTTGCACATTCCCAAATGAGCGGGTGGTAGAGCCAAGTTTTCTTGGTTACACATGAATACATATATGTATATATAACGAATAATAAATAGGCACAAATCTTCATACATATATATATATATATGTATACACATATTGGTTGTCATGAGTACGTGGGGCACCCTATGTTGTGGAACCAATGTGGTCCACTCAATGCGCTGCAGTATTTGCGGCGCAGTCTCTGCGGTGCATTGTTTCACGCCGAACTTGGAGTTATCAAGTCCCCTTTTCGCGCATCACCCCACCCACCCGCAATTTGGTTTGCAAAATCCATGCGGCGGCGACTGCGACGACTGCCTGGCGCTGACTAGCCCACCGGCGCGGCCGCGCTGGCGCGTGCAACCTCTCGCGCAAAGCTGCTAGAGTGGCGCGACCGATGCGGCCGAGGTGGCGCCAGCCGCTGAGATTTCCAAGCGCGTTTCGCACGGCGCGCTGACGAGTGGGCGGTTCAGAGCGGGGGGGCGTTCCCGCGGGCGCGGTATTTTGGCGACGTCGACAACGGCAGACACGATGATGATAGTAGCGGTGCTGGCGACGAGAACGACAACGGCGGCGGCAAAGCGAATGACGGCGCCGATGCTGGTCACGCCGGCGACGGTGATGGTGTCCTCGTGTTGGCGATGGGGTTTCGGAGGGATTTCGACATGCGCCCGCGGCCGACGCGCACGAGTAGCAGTAGCAGCCACGGCTTTATTTGTCAGGGATCGCACGCCCCCCCTTCAGCACGCGCACAAGATAGATTGATGTTTTTTGTCGCGTGCCTGCGAAAGGCCATGTTGGAAACACAGAAAATTGGCGAAACAGTTGTTTCAGAAACGTCGCAAGCGCGCAGATGTTCCCGAGCGCTCGCGTTTCAAAACTCCTGATTTATTATTACAAGTTCGGGATCGCTCGTCTTGGAAAGATGCACGTCAATGAAGGTTTTTGAAGGATGCTGGCATGCGCGCCAGACGATTTGAGCGCGCCGGCATTATTTCGCTCGTCTCAACAAAGATTTTTGGATTATGGCGATTTTCGATGAACGAGTGCGCGCGGAGAGTGTTATTTGACTGAGATTGGGGGTGGTCGAGTCCGGGTCGGATGGGATGGCGTGGATTTGTGTTGCGAATGGTGGAACATAATTGTATGTAAATTGCGATATCCCAGGAGAGCCCGATAAGATTCTGTTGGTGGTGGTGGTGATGGGGGTAGATCCGAACTTCTTCTTGGGACGGAAAATCATGTTGCCGGGCTTGTCAAGGTCAACTCCCTTGCTCGCGCAATCACGTCACCCGCTCGCCCGCAACTTCATTTGTAAAACTCATGCGGCGGCGATGACAATGCCTCCTTGGCGTTGGCGAGCACACCGCTGCGGCCGCGCTAACGCGTGCAAACTCGCGCGCAAAGCGGCCAGCTGGACTGGCGCAGCCGACGCAGCCGCGATGGCGCCGACTGCTGGGGATGTCCCAGCGCGCTTCGCACGCCGCGCTGCGCTCGGGCACTTTAGCACGAGTCGGTGACTCGGGCGGGCGCGGTATCTTGGCGACGTCGACAACGGTAGACACGATGATGATAGTAGCATATGCGCCAGTGGCGAGGATGACGGCGGCAAGGCCAATGACGACGCCGATGTTGATCAAGCCGGCGACGGCGATGGTGTCCACATGTCGGCGATGAGGAGTCAGAGGGGAGTTTCCACATGTTTGTGCGGCCGACGCGCGCGAGTGGCTTCCACGGCGTCATTTGGCAGCGATCCCCCCCCCCCCGGACGTGCGCAAGAGCGTTCGAAGGATTTCGACACGCACGCGCGAGAGGCCCGCGTGGGCGCATCTGATCAGAATGCTGAATTCGCGGAGTTGTTAGAACGATTTGCAAGAACGAGCGCGGTTTGTTTGGGGGAAGGGCCACGTTGCACATCCGTTGTTCCACATGTGCTCGGGACGTTCGATCTTGAAGTCCTTCAACGACGATTGTTGTTTGAAGGGTTTTGGCACGAGCGCGCGGCAACGCGCGCGTGTGGATTACGTTTTTACTGTTTTGAGGAATGGGTTGTCCGAAATGGATGACCTTCGATGAGCGAGCGCGCACGCATAGTATAATTCGTGAGCGACGAAGAAAGGGTGTCGCAAACCCGGTTTGGCTCGGTTGATGCGAGCCCTTATATTTGGATGAGCGATGTGGCAGCACCTCATGCAACGTGCATATCCGCAGGGGGGGGGGGGGGGGGGGGGCGAAAAGTCCGGGGGGGGAATGGCACGGTAGATCCGAATTTGTTTCAGCACATGTGGACATATGTGGTGAAACCCGACGCGGCGATGGGGCGGCGACGGGGGCACTTAGTTGCCAAAACGGCGTGCGGCGACGAGGCGGCGACAGGCCTCTCATCAGTTTGATGTGTGCATATAATATGTGTATATTTAGGTGTCAACATATATGCATATATATATATATATATATATATATATATATATATATATAGTGTACATACACATACACATACACATACATAAATATATATATGCCCACATCCCCCTCCAGCACTCCGTGTTGAATGGCCGTGATTGCTTCTTTCCTTACTCTCGCATTGATTGAACATCCCCCCTCATCACGCTCATCCTTTCCAGGCTTATCCTCCTACTCCTCCTCCTAAGCTACCCCCTCTCAATAATCTATGATGTGTAATAATGAGTACGATTACGACTACGAGTACGATTATGATAATGATGATGACGACGATGATGATGATGCTGCTGCTGATGATGATGATACCGATGATGATCATGGTAGTGATCACGGTGATGATGGTGATGACGGTGATGATGATGATGATAATAATGATTATGATGATTATGATGATGATGGTGACGGTGATTGTGATGATGACGATGATGATAATGGTGATGATGATGATGATGACCACGACGATGACTACGACGACGACGACGACGACGACGACGACGGTGACGACGACGACGACGACGACGACGACGACGACGACGACGACGACGTTGTACTTGTGAAAACACAATGTTTTTGCATCCAGAATCAATTTTCCCTTTAAAAATACAATGGTTTGGTATTCAAAATTAGTTGTCCTTTCGAAAGCACCATGTTTTTTATATCAAAAACCAAGTTTGCCTGTGAAAACACAATGTTTGTTAGCTCGGGTATCGCGAAACCTTGGCAGGTGTTGTCTTTTTTGTTTTTTTTGTTTATGATGTCACGAAACCCTGGCAGGTTTTGTCTTGTTTGTCTTTTTTGTGTTTTTTTTTTTGCCAAACGGAATGTGGCCAGTCAGGCTGAGCGGACGGCGGCCCCGAATTTTCGTGGGGCCCAAAAAAGACAACAAAAACAAGAGACCAAACCTGCCAGGGTTTCGCGACATCAAAAAAAAACAAAAAAAACAAACAAAAAAAAAACCTGCCAAGGTTTCGCGATATCCGAGCTCAAAAACATTGTGTTTTCACATGCAAAGTTGGTTTCAGATGCAACAACATTTTGCTTGCACAGGGAAAAAAGTTTCGAATGCAAAAACATTATGTTTTTACAAGGAAAATTGAATATGGATGCAAAAACATTGTGTTTTCACATGTAAAATTGGTTTTGAATACCAAAACACTGTGTTTTCAAATGGAAAATTTGTTTCGTATGCAAAAACATTGTGTTTTTACACGGAAAATTGAATATGGATGCAAAACCATTGTGTTTTCATAAGGGAAGGCTGCACTCTTGACCTCCTGAACCAAATTGGAATCCATTGGACCTGGGAACTGGTCAATCTCCTTGAAATCCGTATTTGAATCAAATCCAATTGAAACCCACTGGATCTGGAGTCTGCTCCAGTCCGATTGAATTCTTGTTTGGTTCCTATTCAATTCCAATCAAAGTTTTTTGGACCTGGGATCTGCTTCAGTCCGATTGAACCCTTATTTGATCTTTATTGGAATTCAATTGAAATCCATTGTAACTCGGGTCTGGGCCATTTCTGTTTGAAACTCCTATTTGGAATCTAATTGAATCCGATTGAAATCCTCTGGCTCTGGAGCCTGCTTCAGTCCGGTTGAATTTTTGTTTGGTGTCTATTCAATTCTAATCAAAATCCTTTGGAACTGGGATCTGCTCCAGTCCGATTGAATCCTTACTTGATTCTTATTGAAACCCAATTGAAATCTATCGGAACTAGGGTTTGGGCCATTTCTTTGCAATTCCGATTTGAAATCAAATCGAATCCAATTGAAACCCTCTGGATCTGGAGTCTGCTCCAGTCCGATTGAATTCTTGTTTGGTTCCCATTCAATTCCAATTAAAATCCTCTGGAACTGGGATCTGCTCCAGTCCGATTGAATCCTTACTTTATTCTTATGGAAACCCAATTGAAATCTATCGGAACTAGGGTTTGGGCCATTTCTTTGCAATTCCGATTTGAAATCAAATCGAATCCAATTGAAACCCTCTGGATCTGGAGTCTGCTCCAGTCCGATTGAATTCTTGTTTGGTTCCTATTCAATTCCAATTAAAATCCTCATGATCTGGGATCTGCGCCAGTCCGATTGAATCCTTATTTGATTCTTATTGAAACCCAATTGAAATCCATTGGAGCAGGGGTTTGGGCAATTTCTTTGAAAGTCATATTTGGAATCTAATCGAATCCAATTGAAATCCTCAGGATCTGGAGTCTGCTCCAGTCCGATTGAATTCTTGTTTGGTTCATATTCAATTCAAACCAAAATCCTCTGGAACTGGGATCTGCTCCAGTCCGCCTGAATCTTCATTTGATTATGATTCAAATCTAATTGGAATCTCCTGGGTCTGGAAACTGCTCTGTACTATTGAATTCGTACAAGATTCAAATTGTAACTCTTGGATACAGACATACAGGGATATATATGTATGAAGAATACCAGAAAAACTATGAGGACGGAGTGCTGGGGGGGTGTCTCCATATATATATATATATAATTTGGAGAAAAAAAGAGTGATATATATACCCAGCAATAACGAGGGAAAGAGAGAGAGAGGGAGAGCGTGACAAAGAGAAAGAGAGAGAGAGGAGAGAGAACAACAAAAAAAAAAAAAAAAAAAAAAAACGTCCATCCATACATCCATACATACCGACGGGCCCCTGGGCAGAGAAGGCATGGGGGCCCGTCCAAAGGGGTCCGCCCCGACCTGTTGCTTCTGGCGGGCCCCAGCCCTGCCGACGAAAGGGCCTCCGGGAGGCCACGGGACACGCCAGGGATCTTGGCACCGCTCGGACGTGTGCATTTTTCCTTCGGCGTGGACCATCGAGGAGCATCCTTGATCATTTGGCGAAAAAACCACGCACGAAACTGGAGAAAACACAGGGAATGGACGTCCGAGCGATGGCGAGGGGATGGGCCGCCGCCTCCGCCTCGACTGGCCCCCCTCCGGTCAGCCGGGTCGACTACCGCGACCTGCGGACGTACCCGGAGGCGGGGGACTGCCTCCGCATTCTCAGCTCGGGGGCGGCAGGGAAGTGGGGGTATAGTGGGCGTCTTCTGATTCGTTGTTTTGCCAATCGGCGCGGGACCTCGCACTCCCCCCCTCCCCCCCCCTATGGAGTAGATCTTGGTTGTTTTGGGCGCCTGTTTCGAGCAGGTGGGGCCCCTCCCCCATCGGCCGCACTGCTGCAAGCAGCCGCACGAAGCAGAGGCCCAGAGCCAGACCCCCCCCCCCCTCGCCCCCCTTCCGCCCAATGCCGAAACTCCGAGAAAGAAAACGCTCACATATAGTCCAGGGGCGAGGGCTGCACGCGTGCGCTGGGCAGCTTCGCCGCAAACGCGGGCGGGCGGAGCCCCACGGATAGCACGATGGGGGAGGCGCAAGACTCGAGTTGACCAGATCGCGGGTTGGCGGCGCTTTTCAGCGGGCACGTCCTAGATTTGGACGGTCCAGTTTCTTGTGGGATGTCTGCAGCGGGAGCTCGAGTCAGATTTCGGACCGAGCCTCCTCATTTCTTGACGGCCCCGTCAGGCCAGCCCCAGCCCCCACGAACCCGAGTCTGATTCAGAAGAGCAACAGGTCATGATCATGATACGTTCCAATGTTTCCAGGGGTCCCAAGATTGCCGAGTGATCCACGCGGGCTGAAGAAACGAGGGCGGCCAGCGACTCTGGAAATCCGAAAACGCATCCTGAGCCAACCCCATCATGACATCGTTGCCGTCCTCCTGGCGCCTCCCCGAACCTACGCAGCTCCCCGCAGTTGTGGATCAGAGTGAGCGGGGCTGGCGAGGAGTGGGTCGCGGGGTGCGTCGCGGGGTGGGTCCCGGGCGAGGACGACGACAGCAGCAGCAGCAGCAGCAGCAGCAGCAGCAGCAGCAGCAGCAGGAGGCAGAACCCGCGCCGCGGGACCCCGCGTCGGCCACGCGCCTCCCCTGGGGCGGATCGCACGAGACCGCTCGGCCGTGGGCGATGCGCCCCTCCAGAGGATCGAGGGCCGGGGGGGGCATCGAGGGAGGGCCGAGGAGGCGAGGAGGGCCGAGGGCCAGGGAGGATCCAGGAGAGCATCGAGGTGCTCGAGCCTCGAGAGGGTCGAGAGGGTCGAGAGGGTCGAGGCCCGAGCCTCGAGGGGATCGAGGGGGTCGAGGACGGATCCCCCGGGGGGGCCCCTTGGCGCCGTGCGCTCCCCCCCCGCGGGCGCCGCGCGCCCCCCCGAAGCCTGCCGCCGCCGGGGCGCAGCCAGCACGTGGCCAGGCGGCCCGTGCGCGTGCGGCTGGCCGAGCGGGAGGACCCGCCTGGGCTCTGCCCTCGGAGAGTCGTGGCCCCTTTGCTGTCTCGTTCTGGGGGGGGCGGTGCCGTGGCCGATCTTCCGATTCTCCTCCTCCTCCTCGCTCCTCCTCCTCCTCCTCCTCGCTCCTCCTCCTCGCTCCTCCTATTCGCTCCTCCTCCTCGCTCCTCCTCCTCCTCCTCCTCCCTCCTCCTCCTCTCCTCCTCCCTCCCTCTCCTCCTCCCCTCCTCCCCCTCCTCCTCCTCCTCCTCCTCCCTCTCCTCCTCCTCCTCCTCCTCCGCCCCCCTCCTCCTCCTCCTCCTCCTCCTCCTCCCCCTCCGCCTCCGCCTCTCCGCTCCTCCTCCGCCCCCCCCCTCCGCCTCCCGAGGTGCCCTGGCGGGATGCCGCCCCCCGTCAGGGACCTGCAAAGAAAAGCGGCCGGTCCTGATCGGCACCGCACACCGCCAGCTTTTTTTGCCAGCGGGAGGACCTGCCGCAGCTGCTGCGCCTCGAGGGGGCCGCCGTCGCAGCGCCGCTGCGGGCCGACGGCGCCACGATCGCGCGGCGCTTGGGCAGCCCCCACCAGGACTCAGGCGGAGGAGGAGGAGGAGGAGGAGGAGGAGGAGGAGGAGGATATTGGAAAATATGGGAAGTGGGGGGGAGGACAAAACCCCAGAAAATATTGAAAATATGGGGAACATGGTTATCTGTCTGCATTCATTTGTGTGTTCCAGTTCCCCTTCAGAGAAGGAGGTCGGCTACAGGCGGCAGGGGTGCGCGCGCGGCCAAGTGCGCCGCGGGAGGCTTCCGCTGTCTTTTTGCCTCACTGATCAAGCCTTCCAGCGAAACCCTTCCAGGGAAACGCTGCCCGTGCAGCGTTCCCCCGGAAGGATCTCGCCTCCTCTTCCTCCCTCCTACTCCGACGACGACGACGACTCCTCCTACATCCTCTCCCTCTCTAACGTTTTCCCTTGGGTTTCTGTCTCTAACGTTCTCCCTCTTCCTCTCCCTCTCTAACGTTCTCCCTCTTCCTCTCACTCTCTAACGTTTTCCCTCTCTAACGTTTTCTGAAGTAGCCGAACGGGTCCGCCGGGGATCTGTTCGCGCTTCCGTTCCGCGGGCGCCCGCGTGCGGGGCCCCCGCGCGCGCCGGGCGCGTCCGCCGAGGCTGCGCCCCCCGTGGGCGCGCCCGTGGGCGCCCCGCGCGCCGTGCGCCTGCGGGGCACGGCCTGCGCCGCGCAGCCTGCGCCCCACGGCCCACGCCGCACAGCTTGCACCACGCAGAGCACTCCTCCTCCTCCTCCTCCTCCTCCTCCTCCTCCTCCTCCTCCTCCTCCTCCTCCTCCTCCTCCTCCTGCTCCTCCCCCTCCTGTAGCGATCGGCGGCCGTTCGACTTGGCATCGCTCGGACGTGTGCATTTTTCCTTCGGCGCGGACCCTCGAGGAGCATCCTGGATCATCTGGCGAAACAAAAACGCGCACGAAACCAAAAAAAAAAAACACAGGGAATGGACGCCCGAGCGATGGCGAGGTCACACCACAGAGCAAAGAAGAAGAAACGCCACAAGCATAAGCTTTCGGCGCTCCGCGCGGATTTCTCGGATCCGCGCCTGGGCCTCCCAGCGGCGCCTCCGGCGCCGCCCCTGGCGCGCTCCGCGCGCAAGGGAGGGGGTCCCAGCGCGGATCCAAGAAATCCTCGCGGAGCGCCAAAAGTGTATGTGTAAGCGTTTTTCTTTGAGCATAGTTCGCCCGCCTCCAGCCCATGCCCCGCATCGTACACAACATAGTTCGCGCCACACAGAGTGCACCACACATTACCAGACGTAGCTCACGTCACATATATTACGCCGCGTCGCTTTCACCTGCACAGCCAACACCACCTCAAAGTTTACACTATATTGCTTGGACCCCATAGATTACAGCGCATAGCTTCTTCCTCCACAGTGCACGAACTCACGGTTTGGAGTCCGCGCTGGCTACCATGTTTTTTAGAAAGTGGACCCCCCCGAGGTCTCGTCCCATTCCCCGGGACTTGCTTTCTATCCTGGGTCGTTGTTTTGACACTCCAGGCACCCGGCGAGTGCCCCCCTGAGGTGCCCGAACCTGTCCGTCCCGTCTGCGTCGCAGCGCGAGGGTCGTGGGGGGAAACGCGTGCGCAACCGCATCCGCGGCCTCCGCTAGTCCAGCGATCGCAAACATGGATTCAGGGGGCGTGGGTTCGCGACGGGCCCCCTTTCCGTGGGAAATCGCGGATTTCCGCCGCCGAGCGAGGCGGCACCGGCCACATTCCGGGGAGGGCGCCTCCCCCGATCCATGGATTTGGCGACCGCGCGCCAAATCCATGGATCGCTGATCCATCTCTGCGCGCCCCCGACCGACGGGGAGCGTTTTCGTCGCCGGTGCCCCGCGCGGAGCACGTGCCCGTGCGACCGCGCCTCCGCGGGAGATCGCGCCCCGGAAGCCAGGCCACGGCGGCGCGCGCCAGGCCCTTGGGCCGCCTCCCCGCCGATAGGGAGCGTCGGGGTTGGACAGACCTCCTAACCCTGACACGTCGATTGAGGAATTGGCCGTTTTCGGTTCGCGAGAGGGCGTCGCGGCCAGCATTTTTGCGGGTCCAGGTCCGTCGGTTTCGGTCCCAGGCCGTTTTCACTAAGGGGAGGTTTACTAAAGGGAGGTTTGTCCATTGCCGAGAGCGTTTTGGTCGCAGACGCCCCGCGCGGAGAACGTGCCCGTGCGACCGCGCCTCCGCGGGAGATCGCGCCCCGGGAAGCCGGGCCGCGGCGGCGCGGGGTGTGCGGAGGCGTGCGCGACGCCCGCGGGGTGCGTGTAGCTTTGGTGTCGTGGCCGAGGCGTCGGCGGACGGCAGAAGCAACTTGTGCCTTGCGTCAAGGAGGTGAGGAGGAGGAGGAGGAGGAGGAGAGGAGGAGGAGGAGGAGGAGGAGGAGGAGGAGGAGAAGGAGGAGGAGGAGCAGGAGGAGGAGGAGGAGGAGGGAGGAGGGAGGAGGGAGGAGGGAGGCGGCGGCGGACGGTGGAATGAGCGTTCAAGCCGTTCTCTCTAAGCACCAATTGGAAAAACCCCCCGAGGAGCTTTACACCAACAGGGCTCTGGAAGAAACTCTGGTCTCCTCGTGGGGCCAGAGAATCGAAGAAAAGGACCAAGGGGCCAAGCGGCGTCTGCGCCGCTCCTTGGCCTCAGCTCGATTCCGTCTGATGCGTTCGAGCTGTGCCGACGAAAGGGTCGGTGGGGGGGGAGGGGGAGCAGGAAGGAAAAAGGAGGGGGGAACCCCGTCCTCGGGGTCAGAGGGCGGCCCGGCCTCGTTGGGCGGGTCGACGGGCGTCGCTGCCGGCTCCGCGGCTGGAGAGTCCTGCGGCGGAAACCGAGGATCCTCGGCAGGGGAGGGGGGAGAGGAGGGAGGCCGCCAGCGGCTGGATTCAGGATCACCACGCTTCCTGGAAGTCGCGGTGGGTCGGGCGAAATCTGGGGCCTCCCAGAACTCGACGCCAGGATCCCAAGGAATGTGAAATTCACGCAGACAGCAGGTGTCGGTGGGGGTGGGGTCCTGATCCCATGGGTCGCCTTCATACGTAGCAGTAACAATGGCATCCGTCATGGCCGTAGCTATAGCTGTACACATCCGAGTCGGGTAGGTCTTCTTCGCACTGGTTTTGAAGCTGAGGTCCTCGTTTTTGCCGAGAAGCGTTTTATGTACACCATTGCCGTGATTGCATTTGCCGTTGTTGCAAGCCGTAAGTTTGCCGTGCAAAGTGGGAAGACGGAGCGACATGATCCTCGTCGGGGCACGGCCGACTGTAGCCGGATCTGCATCATTGAGGGTGCACTGGTCGAAATCCGTCGTAGCAACAATGGGACAGCATTCCAGAGAACGGAGAGGCATCCACGCAAAACTTGAAACTGCCTGGCCTCTCCACCAAGCGGGTGCTGGGTGCTCCATCCACCCGCACGTCCCTGCTCTGATGTGTTCGGCGAGCAGAAGCACAAGACATTGCAGGAGCTTGTTACCTACTTCGAGCTGCTGTGCCTGGGTCGGAGAGGCCCACGGAACACCCCAGAAATACTCGGCAGTCCTGAGTGGGGGGGGCCCCCCCTCCAGCCATCTAGCTGGGCACCAGGTCTCGCAGGGGGGTCCCCCCCCTGAAGCCCAGACTCGGCGAGCTCTGATGTGGCCTGCCCATTCGTCTATTGTAGCTTGACGGGTCATATCACAGCGTATGTTGTCAATGGATATGTCGATAGACAGTGTGACAATGTGAATATCTTGACCGTATTCGGCATTGTCGATGTTGTGTTGAATATCGCCCTGACGACGACGACCACAAAATAGGTTTAGTATGTAGACCTCACGTCGCTGCACACGCCACGGCACCTGTTGGGTGGCCAGATGTTGAAAGTCCTGCGGGCGGAAAAGATAATGTCTGTCCGAGAATTGGGCCTCTGGTGGTTCATCTGGATCGTTCTGAACTCTGGGGGGGCGCCAGATCTCCTCCAGGGTCTCTTGGGCCTCGGGGGTAAGCTCGTAGAAGGCACCTCTGAGGAGCTCTTTGGCTTCGTCCTCATCGTATAGGGCAAAGACTTCGGCTGCTTCCCAAATCAGACCGTCGTCGCATACCGTAGTGGTTGCTGGGTAGGCTGATCTCCATCTGCCCAACCCGGCACGACGCTGGTCGGCGCATGCCTGACGGTCACGTGCTGCAGCTTGCTCGGCCTCGTCGGCCGTCATCTGAGCTCCGTGCAAGAAATGTGCTAAACAGCAGCGGGCTGCGTCGTATGCCAAATGATTGCGAAGTTGTCGGCGTGATGCGAATTCCATGGAACATGCACGACACACTGCTTTGTCCCCCATAACCCTTTCCACGTGTTGGACCATGGTAAAGTGTGTACGTATGATATGTTGTCGTAAAGCTGCAACCTTAGAGTAAGTGATGTGGCACCAAGGACAAATATATTGTTGTGCTGGTGGTCGGTCGGCAGCCCGCAAGGGATGATCGGGATGTGAAACTGGAAGTGGGAAGCCTCCTTCCCGAGCGCACTGGAAAAAGATGCGCTCTGCACGTGCTGCCAATGCCTGGCGGGCGGCGGCTTGTGCTGCACCAATCTGCGCTGCTCTCAGCTGACGTCTCCAGGAAGTGATGGATCTCCGAATGTGTTGTTCCCACGGGTGAAAGCTGTCAGCTGGGTCCGGGAAATCCTGGAACGATTTTGTAACTGTGCGGAGCCATCTGAGATCGTCCAATACGTGATGTAGCCATGTAGTCTTGGCGTGCTGCCGCGCGTGCTGTGGCTGTGGTGGCGTGGTGCGCAGTGAGAGCATGAGGCGATACACGTGCGCGAGCATACCTAGCAGAAGGTCGGATCCGTAGTGAAGCACTCGTCCCAGCAAGCGTAACCGATGCACGCGTAGCTGGACGTCAAGGTCCGACCGTTCCACGTGGGCTAAAACCTCGGAGTCAGGAACAGCGTGCTCGTCATATCTCTGCAAACCTGCTGCCGCACGATATCTCATAAGTATGTTGGTACGCAGTACTTTGTGTGCGCCGTGCTCAATATTGATCCATGTGCCAGCGTTGTGTAAGAGA